GATTTAATTTCAATATCGTTGAAAAAATAATTACTCACGCTCAAAATTTCAATTATTTTCTAAAAATAAATGGGAAAATTTCACAAATAAATGAATTAATTATAGTTGTCTTCTACCCCTCGGGAAAAAATTATAGAAAATATATTGTTCATATATATACTGAGACATTTCCATATTTATATATTTAGAGATATTTTTCCACATGCGAGAGACCCACAAAATAATATCGATTTTCACTTTCTAATTCTTCCAAAATTCCCTTAGAAATTAATTTCAAGAATAAATCACATGGACAGATATAATCCATCTTAATTGTGATATTCAATAAAAAAAAAAACTCGTCCACACTGAGAAAAAAATATTATTTAGCCAATAATATTTACTAGCCACAAAAAAAATATTTGGTATTATTAAATCTTATGTGAATATTTCCACAGTGATTGCCAGATTTACTGGTGGTTAGTAAATATTATTGGTAGAAGAAAATATTTTCTTAATGCAACAATCGTGAATCTCAAAAATTGCCCTTCCGTGAAGATTGACACGAGGTCATTATTACCCGACTTCGGCATTAAAACCCCCCACCCATCCTCAAGCCCATTTGTTGTGATAAGAGTGAATCTCTATTGTTCTCCAAATGTAAATAAATTTCCATCTTCAACGAGAAGTTTTTTACGAGCCACTGTATCTTCATTATGCCATGTAAAAAAAAGCTCTTCATTACGAGTCCCATAAATAAGCAATCGCATAACGGCAAAGAGTAATGAAGACTCGGGAGCTAGCATTCAACTGCATATTGACGTTTTTCTCTTCTCCAGGCACTGATGCGCAATGATACGCAGCATTCCGACAAAACTCATTAAGTAAAAATGATGCCTCGTGAAATATGTCGTCTCAGGCTGCATTATCCGTCCAACGAGCTGGAGTAAAAAAAAAATGAGATAATGGAAGGGAGAAATATACGGTTGAAAAGAATGCCAAAGGAGGAGGAAAAGTGGGTGAGCTTTCAAACGCTCGTCCATTGTTACAAGAAAATTTAATACCTCGAGCTTTTGCTCACGTATTACGTACGAAGGCGAGACCTCTTCAGAGCTTATATTGGATTATTCCACTGAGTCTCCTGATACTCTTCATTTTTTTTCCCTTCGCTTCAGTTTGCTTTCTCTTTTCATTGTCCTCAGCGTCTTTTCTACCGTATCGATGTAATGTACATGGTTTTATTTCTAGAGTACCTCAACTCAAATCGTCTCCGCACCAAGATGGAAATTAAACCGACAATCGTCGGAAATAACTAAACGACAATAATAAATGAAGAGAGAATATTTGCATATATTTTTTATGTATTTGATTTGATTTTATGTGTTTTCATGTATTAGATATGCAAACTTGCGGAGTTGTTGCAACTTGTGCGGTGAATTCATTTTCGCGGGTCGCGAGCTGTTCAATGGGAATCGATTGGCAACGATTGGGCGATGTGCGGAAAAAATTCAGGATGTTTACTTTCGATTTGGAATTCTGGGGTTTTCCGTTGTTAGGGGAAGGATTTTTTAATGAGCACTCGGGGAAGTTCTTTTGCTGAGCAAACGAATTTATTAATGAGAAATAATTCTGTGGGAAAGTGGTAAACTAGGATAAGTGTATTTTCATCGAGGCCAGTTTTTAACCGATTCCGCGAAATTGAAGGGAGATAATGATATTTTGATAAATACATTTTTTGTCGCTCTCATTGTTCTCTATAAAAAATGTTAATGCCGAAAAGTCACTATGTCGCTTCGACTCCGAGATATTGAATAAAAACTGGCCGCGAAAATAATGCACTTATCATTATGCACTAGTAATGAATTCAAAAAAGAAACGAAAATTAACTTAATTAAAATTTCATCCATTATACTTTTAATAATAATAATAAGGTAATTAAATAATTTGATCCTACCCCACCTAATTCGAACTTGATCAGAATAATTACAGGTTGGGCTGATCAGAACCTGATGAGATTAATACAGATCAGGTTGAATAATCGAAATGTCAATGATCAATATTATGTTTATAAATAATAAAAATGGGAACTAAAAAAATTTATATTTATTTATGCAAATCAAGTGAATATTATCGAGAGGATAAGATGAAGTTTTGAAAATGGTGGTTTGTCCTGTGAAAAAATGAACGATTCAATCCCTTAATAATTGAATAATGGCAAATTGAATTCTCTCCGAGTGATAAATTGATAAACAGTATTAGTTTTCAAAATCTCAAACTCGTGATTGAGACAGAAGAGAGATAGAGCCCCAGGAAGGAGTGGGGGAAAATGTAGTTTTGTTTTTTCAACAAAGTGTAATCCAAGGGGTTTCCAATCTCCACCTGGATTCCAGAAACTCTGTGCACCATTCCCGCAGTCGTGTCAAACTGTTTCCAGAACTTTGCTTGTTAGCTATATCACCCATTCCATACTTTTGTCTGTACCATCAGTCGTAGTGCACTTACTCATCCCCCCAGGGGCGGATTTTCCAAGTTGCCTCAGATGTCGTGGGGAAAAAGAAAGAAATTGAGGGATAAATCACACTCGCCAAGTGTAAACGAGAATAAAGGCCCATTTATTACTATTGGATCGCCACTTTTAGTGTTACATACACTATTGTTACATACACTATTGTTTATTCATCTGGGGCTTCAGAAATTCACTCAATGGATGAATAAATAGAAAATAATGTAAACTCTGTTCAAGTTTTCCATTAAATCGATTTTTACAATCCCTATAAATAATATCTTGAAAATATATAATTATAAGATCAGCCTATCCCATGTGTTGTTTAGTTTAGCATTTCAATATTTTCAAATATGAGTCTTATTTAATTATAAATAAATTATTTTCGGTTATATCGAGGAGTGGTAACGTGAGGTGAATTACTGCATCGATGAGTTTTTCGGAAATATCTCCGAAATGAAGGGAAATGGCGAGATTTTCGTTGAAAGCTTTATTGTGGAGTCAATTGAGGGTTACAAAAAAGGTAATAACGAAAATGGCGATATCTCCCACCGTTTCAGAGATATTAAAAAAAAAATCTCACGGCAAAGCTAAACTAATTTTCATTGTTTTTATTACTTCTGCAGGGAATTAAAAATGCTATTTTCCTTCGAAAAAGATGTTTGTTCAACGAGAAGACTGACAGAGTGATACAAATGATGAACGATAAAGTTGGAATTGTTGAAATACATTGACCTCAGCAGTTGTGAATTTGTTTGTCTATTAATACAACTCGAGTGCGAAATAGAACAGCCCGCGGTGGCATCACATACGGGTGATGGTGTACCCTCCGTTAATCACGAGTACTTCGTGTACTTCGTCAGCAATGCCACTCAGTGAACAAGTAAACTTCACCAACAGACTGAAACCCTAAGACGTTTAATCCTGGCATGCGAAACTTTTTCTCCACAGAAACGCAATTAGTTCAGTTCGAAAACCCCAGCTCTCAACGAAAGATCGGCACAAGTGGAATATCGCTCATAATTTAATATGAGACAGCCATTTTTGCTAATAAATTGAGTATAAACAATCAATAAATAATAATTAATATGCTTTCGAAAGTTTATGCATTTCAGATAATAGTAAAGAAGACAACAGCATCGGGAATTTTCAGAAAAAGAAAAATGCAATCTTCAACTTTGAAATCGGTGCAGAGAATACTGAACCGAATCTCTAAGCTTTGATTGAATTTAATTAAACAATTATTTTTTCAGTAATCCCCGAATAACTTTTCGGTCACATACATATATACATATAGATCAAAATGGTGAAATATCGAGTAGAAAAATTGTTAAGCTTCAATTGAAGAGTTATAAGAAGAATCTCAAACGTGAAAAATTGAACTTCTAAAATCGAAAGATTCTAATCCATCCACTCAAAATCAAAATAGAAAAAAAAAATGTATTGTTTATAATTTAGATATAAAACGTGTATATCAGCGTGTGAATCTTTGATGTAATGATTCAAGATGCAGCCAAGTATTTCCAGATAGAAACAGCGATAATTCGGGATTTTGAATTAACGGTTGGAAATGCCACTCAGATTGCATAATTAATGTGGAATCTTTAATGAGCGGATAAAATAATCCCTGTCGCAACAGAACATGCAGATATTTCGAGGAATTTGAAATACCTGACGAATTTATTCTAGCATAGGAGTCACTGCCCTGTGTTTCCGATTCTCGGGATGAACTGATCTATTGTGAGTTCATGATCCGTTATTACCTGACATTGTGCGGTTTAATACGAATTATTTAGTATTGCAAATTATCCAAAACATACCGTGCTAATTCGAGACTCATTGTGGTTGTATTAGACCACAAGCCGGATTAATCCATCCCTCGACGCGATCGGATAACAGAAATTCGATGTATGGATTCATCCCATGTGATGAGCTTCCATCAAACACTATTGTTCCTAGGCTTTTGTTTTTTATTTCCAGCACGGAAAAAGTATATACTTGTATTCAGATGTTGGATTTCTCATTCAAGTGAAAATAAATGGGAAATTGTTCGTTCGTCACATATAGTACAGTTATTTTTGCTAATAAATTACCAATTCAATTCCGAATGGATATTTATCTGTAACAAAAGTATCAACGTTGATAATTACGATAATTATCTCCGGATTTCAACAGCAGATTATCGAAATTATCGAGTCAATTGGAGTAGAATAGGCTGTGGTATAGGCTCGGAATAAAAATTTTTGTAACCTATTGAATTTTGGTGAATCTTTCCTACAGGGATAAAAAATAAAGAGGAAAAAGTACATAAGTGGTAAGGTAAGCGCGGGCTGAAGAATTATTGCGGTCATTTTTATCTAAAATCATGGCGAAAAATAAGAGGCAGACAGTAAATTTTATTATTTCCTCCGGAAAATTTACGCTACTGTCAAGTATTATTTTTTCACCTCGTAAAGCCGACGGTTTCAGGTAGAAGATCCGTCAAGGACCGTAAAGATTACTCAATTTCACGTAAATTTTATTTTTTACGGTTGTAAAGATGTAACCTCGACAGTCGTGATTCATCGACAGGTGTAGTGACAATCGACACAATAGCAATAACCTCTGGTGTATGGATAAGATCCTTGCCTGACATGCTAGAGGTCATGAGTTCAAATGTCCTTTGAATAAAAAAAAACGGTAAAGTAAATTTTACAGAAGTGATTCGTAAATTTTTCTTACCCATGCAGTACTTTTTCCAATTTCACCGCCCGCCCATGTTTACGTCTCAAATAGTAATTTTTACCGAACTTCTCACGTACTTTCTCCAGTTTCTTTCTCTCCGAATATATGTCGATACAACGACTACTGCTGTTATTTCCATCTTTCACCTTGCTCAACTAGACATCGAAACAAATTCTTTAAGCCATCATTTAAATATTTCACAACATTTTTCTTCAATAATCCTGAAAAGACTGATGTTTAAAAAAATCCAAGAATAAATAAAATGAATTAATGAAGTGAATTCTAATTAATATCGACGAATAGGGCTCATCAGATTTTTATGAAAATTGATATGCTGAAAGTTTTTAATGCGAAAATGACTCGGTTAAATTTTTGAAAGCCTGGATGGGCCAGAAGAGTAGTTATTAATTTTCTTATCTTTTAAGGATTAACATTGAGTCTTACATTCTTTCTCTTTTTTACATCTTACAGTTTTTCATTATTTTTTTAAACTATAGGTGTAGATTTTAAAGAACATTTTGCGCGTTGGAAAATTTTGATTAATGGGCCATAAATGTTGAAATTAATTAATTAAGTGTGAAATCAATCGACTTGGCAACAACGCAAGTCAGGTTAGGTGAGCTCTCATTTCAGAAACAGAACACACACATGGAAACGCATCACACAGGCCTGCAAGCCGTTGAGCAATGTTGTCAAACCAAACTACCGCGCTAATCAAAGTCATCAGTACTCTAGCTTGACTCATGATGTACCAGGAGTACTACCTTAAGATTTCCTGCGTATCAACGATCGGGAGATTTCTTGAAAAAATCTGTCGCTATACTGAAATCCACATAAGTTTTTCTGTTGAGAAAGAGAGTGGGGAACATGGGTTCATATGTAAAATTTATGTGGTGGGGGTATATGCAACGAAACATTCCAAAATATCCGATAATTAATAATGAATCTTCACAACTGAAAATTTCTCTCTGATTAACTCAAGTTATCCGCTCGTCAACGGAATTCAATTCTCCGGTATTTCGAATCCGTCGTGACGATCCTGGGAATCACCGAATGAGAGCTTTTGTTGACTAATTACTTTTCAGACGAGCTAACTTCGAATACAAGCTCATTACCCGGGTGCCTTCGTCTTCCAAAGTAAACGAGAAAACGCGTGAAGGTAATTGTTCGCGAAAGGCCTCTTTAAACAGAATATTTTCAAGGATATTTTGTTCCACTCGGAGGGATTACGACAGAATTGCAATGACTCTGCCAAGTTCCCGAAATTTCCGTCAATTTATTTCATAGAAATTCCTCACTCCGTTGATTAATTCCTCGTGAAAAATTTTTACGATAAATTAAACTTCACGTTAACGCAGAGAAAGTCGTATAATCCAGTGAAAATCAATTAATCCTTAAATTCAAAACCGGGAAAATTCCTCCATTCACGTGTATACTTCATTCCTTTATAGGCTCTGCATATTTTCGGTCAATTGTAATTATTTATTAGATTTTTATCTTCATCGTTTTCATCTCTAAATTTATTACTAAAAATTCAACGAATTCAGTCATTGAATTTCTGAATTAAGTTGAAAAATTATTAAGTAATAAAAATAAATAAAAAAATATCCCATATTTTCTGGATAAATCAATGTAATTTTGCAATATTTTTTTTGTAACAAACAGCGCAAAAAAAATGTTATATTTATTTGTCTTCCAGAGTGATTCATCGCGCCCCGAAATTCCTAGTGAAATTCACTGATGCCGTGCCTGGCTCCTCAATTGTCCTCAAATTAAGCGCAATATCCTCAATTTGCAAATTCCCCTCCATGTTCATTCCGCTCGAGTACAAAGTAATATTCGATAGGCATCAATACACAAATGCCTTCTGATTTCTCAAATGGAGCAGAAGAATTCGCTCCACCTGATTCTCTAACGCATTCAAATTTCGCCTTCATCCCATAATTTTTAAATCCCTAACTTATTCACACCGAGAGTTAAAAAAAAATTCTCGACTCACGTAAATTTTCCCGAATTTTTCAATACCACAAAATAGTGAATTCCGAATGAACAACCGCAACCTCAATACCGCAAAAAAAAAATCAGACTGAAAGCCTTTCAAACTGAATAGATTTTTTTTTTCTCTCTTTTCATTAAAATTGCAATACTTCAATGTACGATAGAATGAGTTATCGAACTAGCGTTGGTTGCACGAATGAAACAAAGAGTTGGCATTGAAAAAAAAAAAGCGGGAACAAAAAGTGGCTTTGAAAGGCTACATCCCGTGATGCACGAGCATGAGCGAGAAAAAAAAAAATTGAGTCTTCATTATTCGAACCGTGCACTCCTGAGAAGCTATATGGCTCTCAGATTATTTGAGCAGACGAATATGCATTCAGGGAGATGCCTCCAGCGATGCTCAGCCCTAAGTAGATAAGTCTGAGCCGATAGTAAAAAGGGCTCGCAGACCTCAACGCCTTGTAGAATACTAAATTCCAACCCCTCAAGAAAGCCTCTCGATTAAAGAATAATGGCCCGAATCAAATCACCCAGAGAAATATTATTCAATAAAAATTTCGAATCTCTTTGGTCGTTTGAAGGAACATTTATGCAACTTTTACGGAATTTTTTTCCAGCAGTTCGATAATTATTTTTTAATTTCTCATTTTTGGTTCTAATGATTTGATTCCGTTAGGAGGAAATGATAAGAATGCAGAGAGAGATGATTATCATGAAAATTGAAAGGTGAAAGGAAAATTGAAAAATGATTTTACGGTTTTCTGAAAAATTTTCAAACTCATGCTTTTTTTCGATGGGGACAAAATATAAATATGGCTGCTTTCTGTCGATCAACAAGAAAATAAAAATTCCTATTTTCCAATGTATCTGGAAAGCTTTAAAATTGATATTTTTTTAAATATTTTTTTCAATAATCGAACAATACCTATCGATTCATTTTTTGTCTTCACAATTTGACGGAATTGATTGAAAAAACGGTATAGAATAAAAAATGGAGATGAAAAATGTCATGGAATTAATAAAATGCAACAGCAAAATGTCTGGAATTTTTAATCATCCTGCCATTAGACTAAAACTCAAAAGGGAATTCTAGAGTTGCGAGTGGTGAATTTTCTAATTTATTTCAATATTAAAACAAGTTTTAAATTCCGTAAAACCTATTCCTAAAATCAAATGTTCAAAATTTTCCCAGCCATATTTTTTTAGACTATCAGACTAAAAATCTCTGCAGGGCCAATAAATTCTCAGCATTTTTTCTAACCATCAGGATAAACGAAACAATAAATTACTTGTGCTTCCAAAAACAAGCCCACTAAACTGTGAACAAACAAATGTTTCAAACAAACGTTTTGGATGAAAAAAAGTGAATAAATAATGTCCTGAACAAAGACATTTCGAAATCCATACAGCACCAGGTGTTCCTGAATGAATAATTTCTCCATGATACCACTAGTCCCCCACAACCAACTTCAACAACAACATAGCCCCATCGATTACCGCTGCATGCGAAATCACCCGAGACCCAATCAGCCAACATCAACTTTTCCAACGACATGAGCAATTACATCAATCAATTCCCCATGGCGAAGGTCGGGGCAATAAATTAATAGCATTTAAAGAAGTGCCTCTAATATTGCTTCTACCCCTTGAATCTCAATTTAATGATCTATTATTAATCCATTACTTTCTTCGTCATATTTCATTTTCTAAACAATAAACTTACGATGTATCTTATCTATTTTATTTTATCTACATTATGTCTTGCTTACTATCTCTCCAAAGCCCTTGCCACCATCATTTTGTAGTTTGCAATAATTTCAATATGATAATTGATATTTGGTAATTATCAAAATGTCAAAACTATACGAATAATAATTATAAAAATCAGCACAACAAAAAGTGACAAAATAACGAATTAATAATAAAAGTGGAGGCTTGAGTGTAGAGAGAGAGTTGTAAATCGAATGCGAATAATTAATTTTTCAAACAATCTAGCTAAATAAAGCCCTGAACAGTGTCCGTGTTCGTCGTTTGTAATAATTTCAATCATAATTAACATTTGGTAATTACCAGAATGTTAAAGATGCGAATAAGAATGATAAAGATCAAAACAACAAAGTATGACAAAATAACAAACTAATAAAAGGGCACGGTTACCTTCAGAGAGGGAGTTGTAAATTAAATGAGAATAATAAAATTTTTAAATAATAGTGTTTTGAAAATTCATCAAATAAAAAAATGTTTGTATTTGCGGAAGTAATTTCTGTAGTGAGTGCACGTTTTGCATGGAGTTGAATCCGTAGATCGGCGATAAAGTAACACCGGCTGAGAGGGTGAAAGTGGGTGGGTGGGTGGTGGGTGGTGGGCGGTGGGGTTGTTGGGTGGTCGCAGACTCGTGACGATCGACCGCGCGCCATTGGCTATTCAGGGCTTAACGTGCAACTGCAGTACTCACCATAACAAAACGTGTCGATAAATATTCTGCTGATGATTACAGCCCGGACGATGAGAGCTAGGGGGTCCAGATGATCTCTGAGTTTGGGCTCTGCCAGATGAGAATAATTGGGGGAGATGCACTTGACAGGTCACTGTGGACTGTTAGGCCGAAACTACTGTCACGATTTCATGTCAGCCGGTCGTTCCCGGCCACGGCTACCTTTTCTATTCTGCGCATGTTTCTACTCCCTTCAGCCCCCACCATTTTGTCGACGCTTTTTACCATTTTCCACGGCAACCGATGGCGGATGTGCGCCGCCTAGGTTCAAGGGGGTGAAAAACATGAGTCACGGCCAGAAACATATTTGTTACATACTTGAGTTCAATTAGCGTTTAAGACCTCATTACGTTCTTATTTGATTTCCTTTTCGGAATCAATTTTTTTAGATTTTTTCAGTTCCTTCCACGCGATCTACTCATTATTATTTCGGAAAAAATTCGGAAATTTTTTCCTTTTTATTAGATTTGAAACATTATAATAATTTGTATTTAAGCAGAGTTTTTATTAATATAGATTTTCCCCAGGTTTCAAATTAATCTTTATTATATATTTTGAAATTAATTAAATTGAACCACTTTATATTTTAAATGAGATTACGATGTAATTAGAGATTTAAGTAATTGAATTTGTCATCGCGGAAGGAATTTATTCGCGATGAATGAGTTAATGGTAATTTAACGGAAGGATTTGAAGCGTTTGGGGTATGAAATTTATTTATTTGACAAATTGTTCAGGACAAAATTGGGAAAGACTTGAATATTATAGAGCAATTATTCTTGCTGAGCTATCTAACAATTTAATTGAGATTTTAAGAAGTCGAAAATGAAAAATAATATTTGGTGAATTCTCGAGTTTAATTAAAGTGGGGAAAGGTGATTAATGGCTGAGATTCAACTTGCAAAAAAATTCGGAAAAATGATCCACTCCGTCCTTGATTTTTAATTAAAATTGGAAAGAGGATTAATTATGTTAGGATAGAATTTCTTCCGTAGTGGATCATTAAAGGTGATTCAGAATATTTGCATAGAATTTTTTTCCCCGGTTAATTGGTTTTTTTTCAGCCTCGCTTTCCGAACTTTTCAACTTCTCTATGGCACCGTAAACAGAAAGAAAAAAAACAACGGACAGAATAGAATCCATATATTTTGCAGTACTAATGTGTTGAATGTGTAGTTGAATAATTGTTGTATTTTTAACGAGAACTCTTGATATCTTTTAATAATTAGTAACGCTTCAACAGAATTATCAATTAGTAACAACTCAATATTGGAAGGGAGAAAAGCAACTCGCGCTTTCACAAAGTTCTTTAATTAGTTTTCTTCGCGGATTCAGGGATTTTATGGTTGAGAAATTTCCGTACGTTAGGGTTCACTCGAAAATTTAAAAACCTTGACGAAATAGTGAATAGGAAGTTAAATTGAAATAAAAACGGAAAAGGGATTTTTATATGTTGTTTTCCCAAGGATTCGTAAATTTTGTTTTCATAATTCTTGAATGAAGAGATGATAATTTATCTTCCAAGAGAGACTGGAAATGAAATTGCGGAATGTCAGAATAAAAAATATTTCTGCGTTCCGGCGTTTAATTAAAATAAGGAAAAGTGTTTATCGGGCCTGAGATTGAACTTCTCTTGTGAAAAATAGCGATGAGTAATTAAAGATTTTTTCTAAAGCTTCTCTCTTCTCATTTCATTAATTTTATCGTCAGAGCATCTAGAATTCTTAATTGATTCTCTACGGAATAAATAAAATGCTAATAAAATAATTCCTAATGATTAACTATTAATTATTATTCTAGAAAATTTATTCTGACATTGTAATAACAAATGCAATGAGCCCATAGAAATTTTTTATTTCGGGAAAACTCTATCAAATAATTACAATTTCTGAAGTTTAACGTTTTTTAAAAATTCTTCCACATTCCGCTGCGCCAAAAAAATTGAAGGGGAATTAATAACTAATTATTGACAAATTATAATAATACTGAATTTCTTCGTTCATTGAATTATAGGAGATTGTGAGTTTGAGATAAATTCAGTAGTAAAGTGGTAAATGAGGATGAGTGCATTTTTTCAAGACCAGTTTTTGGCCCATATCTCGGAATTAAAGGAGCAAAGCGAAATTTTTACATAAACATTTTTTATAGAAAAAGATGAGAGCTACAAATAAGGTATTTATGAAAAAGTCGTTATCTCCCTTCAATCTCGAGATATTCTCTAAAAATCGGCCTCAAAAAAAGTGTACTAATCTTATAATTTATCACTTGGTTCCGGAAGTAGTTTGATAAGCTCTAGGTTATCGGGAATTGAAAATAATGGATGATGATTAGGTCTATTGATTTGATATGAACAGATGAAATGGGGTGATGTATAGCCTTAAAACGAGAATAGACGAGCTACACTCAGTGGATTTTCGAGGAAAGTTTGAAAGGTATAGATATGCCGCAGCAGCATCTGGAAATTAAGGGGATGAGGAAAGTTCTGAGTGGTTGCAGTATTATTGATGAGATTTCAGCGATAAGGAAATTACGGCGAACTCGTCTCGGGGTTTCTCGTCGGGAATTATCACAAACGAGAATTCATCACCAACAATAATCTCCCGAGAATCTCACCCGCTATTTTTAAACCACGATTATTTGAATTTTTTGTGTACGACTTTAAGATCTACTTCCACCTGGAACTGACCTCTAGATTCAATCACACGAGTATAAATTTCCAGGAGAACTTGACAGTAGATGAGTAACCAACGGTCGGATGTGGAGAACCCGACGGAATCATCAGCAAGAAACCCCTCGACCCTGGAAATTTACTGGAATTCCAGTCACAAAAAGTAAATCTGAATTTTCAGTCGTCAAGACTTGCCTTGGGAGATTATAAACATTATAAACATTTGATAAAGTACATGTGAATTTCTGTGGGAAATTTTTTTTTAACTCACGAAATAAAACTGGCTGAAATCTGAGTTTGAAAAATTATCAATTATTAGAGTTTGAATTAAATTTGATTTAAAAACAATCACTAATTTTTTTTTATATTAAAAATTCAACATCAATTGCAAATTTTTAATAGATTGAAAAGCACGACAATTATTACTTGATTGTAGAGTCCGAAATGCGGAAGATTTGGGGAATACAAAAAAAAGTTAATAATCGACCCTGAAAATTTACTGGAATTCCAGTCACAAAAAGTAAATCTGAATTTTCAGTCGTCAAGACTTGCCTTGAGAGATTATAAACATTATAAACATTTGATAAAGTACAAGTGAATTTCTGTGGGAAATTTTTTTTTAACTCACGAAATAAAACTGGCTGAAATCTGAGTTTGCAAAATTATCAATCATTAGAGTTTGAATTAAATTTCAATTAAAAACAATCACTAATTTTTTTTTTATATTAAAAATTCAATATCAATTGCAAATTTTTAATAGATTGAAAAGCACGACAATTATTACTTGATTGTAGAGTCCGAAATGCGGAAATTTTGGGGAATACAAAAAAAAATTAACTGATTCGTCAGAAAAGAATTGTACAGAAATTTAATGTCACTTTGTTGTTGATAAAAATTTCAAGTATTTTTACTTGAGATTTCCACTATAATGTTTCACGAGTTGATTACTCATCACATTTAGTGATCGTGCCAATAGAAATAATCACATTGCAATTCGAATAATTCAATTGCACAATTGGACGGGACATGAGCAATTAATTGTCCATCAGTTCTCTTCCGGGAAGAATAAACAAACATCCTCAGCAAATAAAAGGGACTTTATTGATCGGAAAATTCATCGAAAATAATTAATCTGAACAATTTGCTTTCCACAATCCAGAAAATTCGTAAAAGATCTTTTACAATTGTTAGCTCGAAATCTTAAGACGAATTATAATTTTTTTGTTGTAAAATTTGAACAACCCTCGGTGTTCAACAAATTACCGAAACCCACTCAGCCTTTTTCAATTGTCGAAATACTTCGCTTTTTTTATAATTTCCCATTAATCAATTAGAATAACAAACTTTTAAGATTTCACTGAATAAAGTCTGCACTGAGAAAAATAATGACTGTTGCCAAGTAAATCGAATTAATTGGCGAAGTAAATAAATATATCAGAATAATGTTTTCTGCCTATGAATAATTAAAAATCGCGTCAATTGTTCATACAAATTGTTAATTGAAATAGAACTCCCAAGATCTGCGTACCAGCGGGTCAATCATGCAAAAGGCCGAATGTTTTTCAGGAATATTTGTTGAAGTGGTAAAGGTCACTAGATTGGAAAGAGTTCCTCTTGGCTGAGTGCCCGAATTATTTGTACCTCAAGGGTACAGCAATGCCTTCGTACCGATCATTCTCAATTCCCCAGCTCTTCATCAAGACTCTCTTCTTGATAGTTCCACGATAGCCCTTGACATCCGTTATCATCCTCAACCACAAGCCAATCATCTCGATCATGTACCACCTCTTCATGTTCTCCTCGACTTCCAAGTCTCTGGGGTTCTCCATCGAAGTGTCTCCGTCCTCGTTTTCATCGAGACCCATCTCGTACTCGTCGATGGGAGCTAAAGGGCTCGGAAAGGTCTCCAAACTTGCAGATGCGAAGAGATCCCCCAAGATATCCTCGTTCCGAGTCAAAACTCTGCGAACTGTCACTCGAACTGTCTCCAATAACCGACGAAACCGATTTTCAGGCCTCTCGTTCAGCAATAGATCGAGGTATCGATCTTGCTTCGAAGAAGGGGTATCTCCAGGGGGTGGCGAAGTGCTTAATGTATTTTTTATGAAGTCGTGCATCTCCTCGATTGATTCAAAACAATTTATCTGCGCAAATCCGTCGAAATTTTCCCGATATTCGTGCGCCATTTGGTGAAGACTCTCGTCCTCTGTCACTTTTATTTCTGGTGGGTCTGAAGACAGAATTAATAATTAATGTTTTCAAAATTAAAATATTTAGTGAATTAATAAATTCTGAAAAAAAACTTCTCTATTTTCAATTTTTTTAAATAAATTTACGACAAACAATTGATAGAATTGAGGTGAAAGAGGATATTGTTTTTAATGTTTATTATTAATCAATGTCTCACAATGTTTCCTCACTGGGGAATAATTTTCTCATTTCCCAGTGAACTTTTGCAAAAATTCACAAAACTTTATTAACAATTGATAAAAAATAAACAGGACTGTGCAAACTCGTGAGTCATTGCATAATAATAAAACCTAAAAAAGATATATTGTTTTCCCGTCAATCTGATCCACGATTTCCTGAAAATTTACAAAAAACATTAAAAATGAGAAAATACCCGCAATAATTTTTTAAAGAACACTTGACACTTGACACTTGAAATGTTTAAATATTTCTCGTGATTAATATCGTTTAGAGATTGCTGGAGTTTACAAATTGTTTCCTATTACTTCAGGTGCGAGTTAAACGGAATATTTACTAAGACTATTATTTACTACTATTAATTTACTATTGATAATGAATATTTACGGTTCTCAGAAAAATGAAGAAGATCTTCAATATACGAAATGTATACAACAGATAATTTATATTATACATTATTTTTGAATCTACTTGCGCGATTCGTATTGAATATTCATAGACTTTTTGGACGTGACTGGTTTATGATAGCCTTTTGTAGAAAATAATTAATCATTCTCCATATTCCACTGCAGATCTGCATCGAGCCCATCAATATCCAATTTTTATCGAAATTTGTTCCATAGATGCATGAAATTTTATAAAAACTTTGTACTTTATAATCGATTCATGAATATTCAGTGCGCAGATCGCCATTGTCTCGAATTGCCTATGGGGTTTATGATGAATTCTTTACGACAATCATTTCATGCAAACAATTTCAAAAGTCGCATTATTATCGCAACTTGCACATTTATTAAACTTCGAAAAGCGAAATTCCTTTTAATTATCAATTTTAAATGGCAGTTTATAGACTTGACTGAAATATTTCAATTAAAAAATCAATTAGTCATTGGATTTTAAATGGAAAACATTCTTATAAATAAAAAACGACTTGATTCTCGTACCTAAAATTGAGCCGGAGACAGTGGGATTATCTGGAATTGGCGTAACAGGTCTCAAATCAGCTTCTTCAACTTCCTCATCATCTTTATCACTGGAATCCGCATCCTCCTCAGCTCGCCAATTTTCACCATTTATTTCGTGGTTTTCTGAGCGACTGACTCGGCCTGGAGATTCTGAAGGCAATTAAAAAATACTGGAGTAATAAAACCGACAAAAAAATGCAACTCCACAAAAAAATTTCTAATCATGTATTTAATCCTCATAACACCATCCCATTGAGTTCAATTAATTATTTTACCATTACCATTCATACTCTGAAATAATTCCGTATATTTTGCTGAAGAATTATATATATATATATATATATTAAAAAATAAATTTAAAACACATGAATTATTCTTATTATTTTATATATACAAATATCAATTCTTCATGAATTAAACATATATATAAAAAAACATGTATTAAATATGTACTTTATTTTTATATAAATTGAACCAATTTAATATATTTTGAATCATAATTATGATTAGTTATTAATAATAACAATTAATACTCAATTAATTATCTATCAATTATTAATTAATAATGATTATGATCAGATTTGAGATTTTAAACAAATATATTTTTATATGATATAGGGAACGGATTATTTTTGTCAATATATATTAGTGGGTTATTTGTAATTATTGATTACCATCGAATTCATGGGATGGTCCAGCTTCAACCATATCGATTGTCTCGTCTTCTTCGACGATACTCTCGTTGTGGTACTCGTTGGCACCGCACGGTCCCAAAAACCACTGGCCCACCAAATTCCTGTAACTTTTGGTTCTCACAACTGTCCGGGGTACAGTCGCCCTTGTAGCTGTTAAAATATCTTTCGTGTGTATTTTCATTCCTCGGTGCTCATCGAGGCGAACTGATCGCTTCAGCTTCTCGTTACTATCATTATCTGCGATTAACGAGTTCTCTTCGATGATATAAGACTCGTCAGAGCACTCGAGGTGCTGTCGAAAATTCTGGACTGATTAAGTGCATTACTATTTTTTATTTATTTACAGAGTACAGATATTTTATTTTTGAGTCTCTTATCTTTTTTTTATTAATGCAGTTTCCCTTAATTTTATTGTGGAATTCTCGATTTTTTATTAATTTACAGAGTACAGAAATTTTATTTTTGAGTCTCTTATCTTTTTTAATTAATGCAGTTTCCCTCAATTTTCATCGCAATCACGGGTTTTGCAAAATATTTCGTGAAGTCTATGATATCTTCGTCAAAATATCAATTCTCTAGATATCAAAATTCCTATTAAATTGATTGATGAACGCCAATTGCCTCAAAATCAGCTGACATCCCCATTGAATCATTGCGATTTAATGATTTTGATTCGATTTCAAGGCGATTGTGAGTCAATATCACTCGATTTAATCGGAATTTCGATTTCATCTCTTAATATTAATTAGGGAAAGAGTTATTAATTTTTATCCTGGGGATTCCGTGCTCTTGATTCGTCCAACTTCAACCCCCAATAACTTGAAGAAAGTGCATCTGATCGAAAAGTTGCTGAGGACTTTTCGATCCAAAATTCCACCCCCAACTTGTGTGGAAGTTTGGACGTTGGATTTTCAGACACTCCGTAGATCTATCGATCACAATCTTCAATTTCAATTTTATCTTGTGAATGTAAAATAGTTCTCAATTTGAATTTCTCATTCTGTTGTGGAAACGACTCCAATAGTTATTAAAAAATCGCAATAAAATAGATAAAAAATTATCGAAGAGTGGCAGATCTAGATATTGATTCCAAGGGATCTCTCAAATTTACAGAAAAATAATATAAAATATGCAGTTTAGCATGATAGGAGAAAATAATATATTTGATAGTTAATAATAATTTATAATCAAAATGGAACGTCAGATGTTGTTTTTTGATGATTTTTCCGTAAATATGCTACACGGAGAAAAATATTTAGTAAAAATTACGGAACTTTCAGTTCACTTACCGATTACGGAGTTGATTCGAAAAATTCAAGTGACGGTATCGTTATTTTTCACCGATAATTCAGATAAAAATTACGGAACACCGCAGAAAAATTCCGTGACTTTAGATAAAAATTACGTGACAGTTCCGTAAAATTTCCGACAACCACATTTAGCTCCAGAATTACGGAAAATACACGTAATTTTTATTGAATATTTCTCTCAGTGTAGATCCCTTGGAATCAATATCTCAATCTGCCACTCTTCAATAATTTTTCCTCCATTTTATCATGATTTTTTTATAACTACTATTTAATTAATTTCCACAATTCAGTTGAAAGCAGAATTGATAAACATTTTACAAGAACAAAATAAAATCTAATCCCACGATTAATGATTAGTTCGATAGATAGGGCCTTAAATGATAAGTACCTTGGATTTTATGGTTTTAAATATTTTTATAAACAATTACCTGTGAGTTATCACTGTCCTCGCAATGTCCCTCACCCGCGATTTGTTGTAGAATGACAAATGTCGATACGGATGTGTCTAGGATACTATTTCGATCGCAGGTCATTGACGAAACGATCGGAGTAGCCAGGGTCTAATGCGAATTGCGCATCTGCGAACAATATTGCATCGTCAATAATCGAATACGTTATTTATATCGATCTCGTTATTTGGTCATCAACCCACTTCTCAGGTCTCTATCGAAGAACGAACAATTCTCCATTCTCAACTCAAACGTGTCAATTTATCATTCACTCATTCACAAATTGTCAATTTAATTATCAATAAAACTCACGTAATTCACAATGACATGACGATTGGCAAGATTAATTGAAAACATCGATCTCAATCTTTCATGTCTCGAAAGCACTTCCTTCGTTCGCCAATAATTGAATATTAATTATGCGACTGTCACTATCAGCGAATAATAATTGATAATTACATTTAAAAAAATCTTGTCCACTTAAACTCCGGATTTAAACGGAAAATAATAAATTTTGCATTGAAAAATGAATAATTATTTAGTCAATATGGAGAATGTTTGAGTGTGTAATGAGTGAGTGATTGAAGAAAGGGGCTGGAATACTTCAAACAACTTTTTTATTTGATTTTCGACATTTTTCAAGCCTCAAATACAATGATCGTACACAATTACATGTTTCCATAATCCCCATTAAAATTTTTCATCAACGAGCATCGAGCTCGCCTTTAAACTCTTAACGTGCCCATGATTAATTAAAATGTATACTGAGTATTTATGTACCCACGTAATGAGTTTTCTCGACAACAATAAATTGAACGTTAATTGTGTATAGCCTCGCAGCTGGATTGACATCAATCTCAACATAATTGAAATGTTAATATCGACATTCAGTGACAATTTATTATCATTAAATTTCTCCGAACAATCACTGAATTTCCATATACATAAATCTATGTATACATAATATTTTTGTATATATTATAATAAATATGAATTTTTATTTTCTTCAAAATCGATTCAATCGATATGGTCGCCAGCGTTTATTCCATAAAATTGATATAATCGTTTGCTAATCCATGTTATTTTAATTAGTACCTATGACTCATTAGTAATGTATACACGTATATCAATTTGAATTATCATCTACTGGTATAACTGATAATCGAGAGAATTGAAATTAATAAAAAACAAATGGGCCACTAATTATTGTTGACGTTGAATTGGGCATTTACTGAAAACTTTGTGCATTATTTTTTCGTTGTTATGTATTCAATGTTATTATGTACAACGAACGATATCAATGTCCTTGATGCAATCAGAACTAATTGTTTAAAGATATACTTTCATCGTGTTATGAACATTATTTATTAATACATTTGGCACAAAATTGAGTAGTTAATCGTTATTGGCCCATTGCTAAAATAAATAACAGGATAGTAACCAAAGGTATATTTTGTAAATAATAATTAGTTTACGATCTCTTCCAGTTTGGTAAAATAATATAAACGATTTGACAATGAAACACAGAGGCTGCTAGAACACGTAGGCGGTGATTCGTTCGAGCGTCACGGGGATGAAGTTCAATGCCTCCATTACATACATTGTTTTGGATTTTTCTTCATTTTTTTTTTTAATTTTCCTTTAATATTCTCACATGTTATTTATCTCGTTAACGCCCGCCAGTTGCCTAGAGGCAATTATTGTCGTTGATTTGCGGGTCGATCGATTCATATCGACGTTGTATGACGATCGGCACCGTTTTGCGATTGAACGTGATGGGGCATCGCTGCTAGCTCATTTTTACTCAGGAAATTCACGATACCAGCACCCAGAGAGTCGCCAACTACATTCACTGATGTTCTGAAGCGATCCCTGAGGGTAGAAACACCAGAAATTATTAGGAGTCACAAATATTCAACAAATGTTTTATTATTTCCTGTAAATTCGTTGAATATTTTTCAATTACTCAGAAATTTGTCGAAAAATTTTAACTTACATCTTGTTTTTTGCAATTCGATTTTATTGCAATCGATTTGTTTGAATTTATTAAATAATTAATTTAAAATGCAGACATTATTTTCAATCATTCTTATTACACTTTTGATAATTTATTGAAATTTCAATCATGTAAACTTTTAATTGTATGAATTCGAATTTGTTGATTCGTTGAATATATTCTAATTACCCACAAAATTTTGTAACAATTTCAATTCTAACGTTTTTTGTAAGTCAGTTTGATTGCAGTTTGTGTTTTTTCATTCTTCAATCGATCAATTAAAAATTCATCAAAATTTCAATCCTAAAGTCTTTTAAATTTTCAATTATATGAGTTTAAATCCAATTTGAATCGAAACTAGTCCCTAAATTTCTCATTTATCATAAAAAATTCAGGAGAATTATTGCGTGAATGATTCGTCAACAAAGAATTCCCTAAAAATTTGACATGACACTACTATTATTAAAAATCTCGAGTTTTTTCACTCTAAATTTGACGAGTAATTTTCGAATATTGTATCCTAACAACATAAAATTCAACCCATCAATTCAGTGCCTCATCGCAGATACTTACAACAACCAATCAATAGCGATAATGAGAGTGACATCATTAGCAGGAAGACCAACGGTATCCAGTACCATGACCATAGTAACGAGTCCAGCCTGTGGAATGCCAGCAGCTCCAATACTAGCAGCAGTAGCAGTGATGCTGCATTGAAAAAAAACGAGAGACCTTTATAAAATGATAGCCCAGGGAAATAATAAAACAATAATGACGAGTAATTACACTAGCTTTTACCTGACAGCAGCAAGTTGTCCAAAGGACAGAGGTACTTTGCGAACCTGAGCGATGAAAATTGCAGCAACTGCCTCATAAAGAGCTGTACCATCCATGTTGATGGTTGCACCAATTGGCATGACAAAACGTGCGACTCTGGGATCGATTCCATTTCTCTCCTCGAGGCATCCAATGGCAACTGGAAGTGTAGCTGAGCTCGATGATGTGCCAAACGCTGTTGCTATGGCCTGTGCCATATTGTAGACATATCTGAAGGGATTTTTTCTCGTCAAGATGTAGAATATTAATGGCAGTACAAAGAAGCCGTGAATGAAGAGGCCAATAATGACAGTAATGAAATACATCCCCAATTGACTCAATACTTCATCGAATGTCTGCATCTCCAGGACCTTCGAGGTCACCAGGAAGAGGACCCCCAGAGGAGACAGCCTGAAATCAATTCAAATGACTCACTTTATCAGTCTAGTTCATCGTTACTCTAATCAGAATGGGAACAATTTTTAAGACACACCAGATAACCCAGTTGGTGATGATCATCATGGCGGAGGACAGTGCCTCGAAAAAATTGAGCAGAGGTTTTCCATCAGGTCCCATTTTCCCGAGAGTTATTCCAAGAACTGTTGCAAATACAACGAGACCCAGGATATTCATTCCCGATGTGTTCTCACCACCGATCGCCCACGTGTTATTATCCTCTGATTGAATAAAAATTCATTTTATCAAATTAAAATCCAGACATCGACAGCTCATATTATATTTTTTTGTATATTCTAACATGATTAATTATAATATGCAACTAACTATTACCCAAAAGCCTTCAGCCAGTGAATTACAAGCGATTGTTAATACTATTAATTTTTTCTACTTAATATATAGACGTATAAATGAGTATTTTTCCTATAGTTTTAATCGCTGAGTTTGTAATAAATAAAAAAAAGCATATGTAATGGCAGCTCATATTATTATCCCCAATACTTCAACTCATATTTTTAATTTATTTAACTGCAAGATAATCTTCATTGAGTGATGCAATAATTTGCATCGAAAAAGCTAAGTATTGAGGAATATAAATTTGTCAATTGACATTTCCTTCAGTAATTGAAATTCCAAATATAAATATTATTAATCTGTGAACTATTTTTAGTTCTGTTAAATTAATGATTGATTGGGAATTTATTATTTATATTGGTTTGATTCGATTGTTCTATTAATTGTTTTCGGATGTTCATACTATTATTATGATCTAATTGCAGGGAGGATTATGCAGTATTATCAGTAAGTACTCACCCGTGTCATTAATTCTCTTCGTAAGTACAGTTCTATACTGCGAGATACAGGCCTGCACCAAATTAGGAGGAAACATATTTCTGACTAAATCCATCAGAGTATCAACGGTGTTGACACTCTTAGCCATTTCACTGCTCTTCATGTTCTCTCCTCTGGATAGCGTTCCAGGTTGAATAGACATGACGAGAATGATTCCTGTGAAAAATCATTCATCAAAATCTACTAAGCATTTTACATTTATTCAACAACTCATCGATAATTTTTTTAAATACTCTTCATGTAATTCAATCTAATCAGTTTAATTACGATAAGAAACTCGAATATTATATATTTTTTCTATAATTCGTGTTCTTTGTTATTTTTATATTTACCACACATTCCCGCGAATTCGTACATAAAAATTGAATGCAGGAGTATTTGCAGGGATAATAAAAGTTTTTATAGAGTTTATTGAGATGGAATAAATTATCATTTACCAAAACGCGGTTAGTGGAATTCGATACATTATCATCGATAATTCTGAATCAAATCGACGTAAATCGAAATTCAAGGAGGCATTTTAAAGAACGCATCAAGACCTTTAAAATGGTATATAATATCCTTGTTCTCCGCATCAAATGTTACGGTAATTAGCAATTAACGTAAATTTTAGAGGGTGACAACGATAAAATGTGAAAAAATTTCAATAAATCTACAGAAACGAAATGAAATCACATCCAACTGCTGTCACTTCAAAGGTTTCAAAATGTTATCTAAAATGATAGACACATATTTATTTGATCAATATTCATATTATTTATTTACCGTAAATTATTTATTTGCAGAGAAAATATAAAAACATTGAAATTGAAATTGAAATTGAAATTGAAATTGAAATTGAAATTTGAACATTCAAATCGGCAGAACTCCATGAAAAATTGTGAGAATCACATAATTATCTCATTTATTCAAGCTCATTTAATGAGCCATCGAATGAGTACACAATATATGAGCGCAATACGAATAGAGGGATCGAATTGAAATCATTTACGTATCAATTACATTTTTTTTATTTAAATCGTTAGAAGTTCTTTGAGACGCAGCTGCTGTCCACGAATTCTCTATAAAATCCAGTTCTCTATATTAAATAACCGATCTTCGATGAAAGTAATCGACATTGCAGTAAGATTTGAACTTCAAGGAGAACTCGAGGTCAGCATCGATGACTTGGCAGGGTAATGAGTGATGATGAATGAATAATAAAAATAGGACGAACCCAGAATAACTGCACTGACAGTTGTAACCATGTAATAGGTAATGGCACGTGCCCCAATTTTGCCACTCAATGATAGATCGAGGGATCCAATGGCAGAGATGAGACTTGAGACGATAAGGGGTAGAATCAGACTCTTCAGCATCCTGAGGAATAGTTCACCGGCGTAGTTGACGTACATTATCTCCCGGGGACTCCATTTGCCCGTTCCTTTCAGGCAAATTCCAAGGATAATTCCCCCAATTACACCACCGATGGTCAGCCCTGTGAGGGCATTGTGGGACAGACATGATGTGATCCTCTGTCTTCTCGTTCTTGGCCTCTTGTTTGGCTCCTGGGGGTAGTACGAACTCCTCTCAACTGGCTTTGACGAATCACTCCCCGAAAGTGGTGATCTGCAAACAGAAATCACCAAAAAATCATTATTGTTCATTAAAAAATATAAATCTTCATGATAATAACGAAAGCGGTATCATATTTCTATTTAACGCTGTGATTATATCAAATGGATCTTTCCTTTTCTCAAGAAAATTTCGGTTGTTCAATTAAATTAATTATTTCTCGCAAGTGTAAACATTTATTTGGTTTAAATAAACAATTTATTAAATATTAAATAATTAATTAACGATATTTTAATATTGTCCATCGAAAACCGAACAACAGGCGATTATCTTTAATTTTCATTTTTTTTTAATGGAATAGTTTTTGTAGAGTTTCTCTATTTTGGATTCCATAATTATTCAAGAATAGAAATGATTTGGGCTGCGATTCGCTCATAAATTATTCGATTGAAGGTCAAGGAAACCGTTTTTCTGTGTGGCAAATCAATTCCACGCATCTTGTTAAATATGAACCTATTGAATCATATTAAATTTGAAGTCCAGCCTCTTCATCCGAATAAACGCCATTACCCATTAACAAATGCACTTGCATCACTGATGGCCAGTATCCGGGCTAATTTTTCGGTTGAATTATTGATTCGTGTGTAATCTATTCGCAGAAATTCATCCAACCGCCAATTAAATACACCTCGCATGAATTGCTACCTGGATTTTCGCGGCTCCAGCATTTTGGAAAAAATCTTGTGGTCCAATCCAATCATTGGAATAATTGATGGAAAGCAGTGGGCGGGATGGGATGATGATTCGCATGTCTACTGACACCAACACAAACAGGATGTGACGGATTGATGAATTACTTGTGTAGGTGCTTGGATGAATGGGCGCTTTGGATCTACCATGTGATACATTTAGAGATGCCCTAGGTTCAACTGCATTCAAATAGATTCCAACTAATTGACCACCTCTTAAAAGCAATCCTCCGAAATCACCCGAACAAAAATTCCCAGGCAATTGCAAAATTATACTAATTATTAACTAGAGAGAAGTCTCTTATTATAACTAGCGAACAGTAAAGGTGCCAGAAAAATTCAATAACCGTCAATTTGCAAATAAAATTTATATGTTTTTTATAACTTTTTTTTTAAATTATGTAGTCAATTTCAACCCTGAATGTTCGGAAATTCTTGAAATAAAGAAATTAATACATAATTACCACTTAAATAACATCTCGAGGAAAAAACTGGTCATTTTTACTGCAACGTCAGAAATCAAAAACTTCAATTTTCTCGAATTTTCTCCAATTTCTCGAATTTTCAAGAAATCAAGAAAATCAACGAATGGTTTAATTGGAATAGAATTCAAACTGATTTAATTAAAAATTCAGAATACTTTGTGAGAGGAATTTCAACAAATTGCTTATAGTGTATATAATATTTGGTGTACATCATAATTGGAGGAATGAGAAAAATAAAATAAAAATAAAAAATTGTAAAATTGATGTTCATAAATTTGTGCAAACAGAGAACCAATCAGATCTAACCATTAATATTCTAAGACAATAAATCTAAAACTCTAAGGGTCATCAATGATGAGGCAATATAAAGTGGCCTTACAATAACCGTTCCTATCAACAAACCAAAAAATATTCATTACCCAATCCCTCGCCTATTATCGGTGGCAAGATTTGTATTACAAAACTTCCTCGGTCTTAGATATTATGTCGCGATAAATGTGTCAACTCTTCTCGAAGTCATTGAAAATTCCGACTGAAATGGTGTCATTGAAAAGGGACACATGAATTTTTTATTCAATGCTGCGATATGACACAATTATTCCATTCGACATGTCATGACTTGAAATAATCCGACTAACGCATAGACCGGGTGATGAAATTTTGAATCTCAATGGAAATGGGGAAATTTTTTATTTAATTTTATCGTAGCCTTGAGAAAGACACGTGGGTGTATCTAAGGGTACGACACGTGTCTTTTCGAATGTTTCATCGGTCTGTCTTAAACGGCAAAATGACCTCGTTTGCTATTCCCCTAGGAGCACCCATTGATTCAATGAATTTACATAATTTCCATTGGAAGGACAAGTCGAGAAAAGATCGCGACGGAATGTTCTAATCTCAAAGTTACATTTTAAAACCAATGATTTAAATTAAATAAAAAATAGAAATTATTTAATATTTTTCTTCTCGTTAAAAGAAACATGGCACACCATTGGGAAATGACAGCTGAGATTTCAATTTAGAAATGTGGGAATTTTCAAGAACAAAGAGTGACAGAAAATTTTGATAGAATTCTTAATTAACGAATAAGTTAATTGTTTGTTTTTAAGTCCATATGGCACTGAGAGACCGGAGAAATGGTGGAAATTTGTCCAGTGATTTCCCTGAATTTTCAAGTTATTGGAAATTTAATTGTTTTTTTTTATTGTATTATTCAAAGTGTTGAAATCCAAATACGGAATTTATTTATACTGTCATTGCTGGGGAATTTGTATGGAGGTAAATAATTATCATTAGACTAGATTAGATTTTGATTTTACATTCAGTCAGAATAATTACGAATTCTATCCTTTTGATTTTCAATAGAAAACTAAAAAAAATGATTTATTTACCCCGGATTGATCCCCTGAAATCGATCAATCTCGACGGTTATGTAAAAAAGAAAGTTACAACTTTGATAACATCAAAAAGCTTTGTATGCATTTTTTTTTCTGCTCTCTGCACTCAAAGTGATGGCAGTGCCGTCATAGATACAATATATAAACAAACAATAAACAACAAATGACCTGAATAGACAGGACTCCCTTATCCCCGATCAATCTGACAAGCACAGGAGATATAAATTCAATAGTTGATTGGCAAAACGAGACGAGCTTCAATCAAATCTCGCCAACAATTCACAGTGAAATCTATCTTGAAGTCCAACTCCAAAGAAAAATTCATTAATTAATCTAATTACCACAGAAAATACAAATAGATAAATTCTGTACCTTCCATTATTTTTTTAAATAAATAAAATTCACGTCATAAACAATCGCAAAAAAACTGCCCCCATAATTTATTGTTGTATTTTTTTGTTGCTATTTGCAAATTAAAATTGGTTCTAATTGAATGACACTTTTCTCTCCGATATAACAATTGATGTTGACGTCACTGATTTCAGGGGAATAAATCATAAAATACTGAATAATTCTCTAAATTGTTGACTTTATCAATACTTCGATAAACAAATCAATCAGGATGTACAATGAAAAATCCATCAATCACATTTGTATTGGATAAAATAAAATAGTATTAAATATTGAAGTCATCGAAGCACGAATTTCATCAACTGATTGTTTTTCATTCTCACCTGGATAATAATTCCTCTTTTTATACACAAATACAATTTCCGTGTTCATAACGAGATCACGCATGATTTTCAATCCCATCACCTTCAGGAGCGAACTTGATTGTTTTTTAATTGAAAAACAATTCTGTAACGCAATAGTAGGCTAGGATAAGTGCATTTTATTAGAGGCCAGTTTTTACCGAATATCTCGAAATTGAAGGAAAATCACAGTTTTTTCATTAATACCTTTTTTGTAGCTCTCATCCTGTTCTATAAAAAATGTTTATATAAAAAATTCGATATATTTCTTTAATTCCGAGATATTAGCTAGAAAGTGGCGTCAAATATTTAGCGTCTATCATGGCTTACCACTTCCCCACAGAATTCACTTCATCTTGATTATTCATTGAATTTCAAAGGTTTTTTCATATTGGATAAAACATCAATAGTCCACTTTTTGTCAACTCCACAAAATTGTTTATTAGATTAAACATTCAAAACTACTGATTGCAAGCTAAATTAAATCTCATTGATTGGAAAACTTTGAGGAAAAGAAAGAAATTTTACTGAATAAAAAGAAATGGATCCTTAAAGATTTCAATAATACTTGTCAGACAAATTTCATCATTAATTAGACCAATTACTTGTCTAACTGAGTTATTAGTCAAAGTAAGACGGTGAATGTGCGCCTTTGAAGTAGGCGTCTTATTTAATTACTATCTTCTACCTAGCGAGGTGTTAAGGGTGTTCTACCCCCTTTTAACCAAAATTAATAATTTTTTCAGGTTTATGAAGAATTGTTGATCGAATCGGCCCGACAAAATTTACCGTTAATTTTATCATTCCACGACTCCCAAAAATCTCGTCATCGTGCAATAATAATTTTTTAATAATAATAATAATTTTTAATAATTTTTCTGCATTTTTTGTAAACCTTTCATCGGTTCAGAAAAATTTATAGAGAATTCCGAGAAAAAAATTTCTGCACCAGAAGATTTATAATTTTCAAAATGTTACGTAAAAATTCCTGAAGTGAATTCCTGAAGGATTCGTGAAATTCTTGTTAGATTTTACAATTTCCAGAAATCTTACGTCACTCTTTCGTATTTTTCAGTGATAATTTTTCCCGGAATATTCTTGAACGTTTCAGATTTTTCCTATAGGGAAGAACTGGTCGAAAAGGGAGACAGTCTAAAAATATCCCAGTGTTTTTCGCAAGTTTAATTTATTCATTTAATTATACTGGTGTTTTTTACTTCTTTTATTTCTCAACATTTCATTAAAAAATACGCGATCTAACTCCACACGGAGAGAAATATTTAGTAAAAATTCCGGAACTTTCAGTTCACTTACCGATTATGGAGTTGATTCGAAAAATTTAAGTGACGGTATCGTTATTTTTCACCGATAATTCAGATAAAAATTACGGAACACCGCGAGAAAATTCCATGACTTTCGATAAAAATTACGTGACAGTTCCGTAAAATTTCCGACAACCACATTTCGCTCCAGAATTACAAAAAAAACACGTAATTTTTATTGAATATTTCCCTCAGTGCACTCCCTCATTTTCCGCGTTTAATATTGGAATCCCTTATATAGAAATTTAATAACATTTTTAAAAATAACATTTTTCATCAATTAAGAGTAATAAAAATCTGGAAAACCTGAAATATTGGATAATGGATTCTTACCATCAATTTTTCCCATCGCCACCTATTGTATCCCCTGATTCATCCCATTTCCCCCGCCTTCCATTTTCTCCTCAGGAATGAATTCCCGTTTTGCCCGAATGTCCCATTTTCCCCGGGTCTCCCCTACATTTCTATAGAAATTCACTTAAAACCGGATTAGATAAGACATTCCCTAATTTTCTTGAATATTTCTCTCCGTGCAGATAATTCGCGCGTTAATTCAAAATCTATATCAGACGGAGATATTTCAGATGAATAATCCGTCGTCGTCGGTGCATCATATTGACGCCCGTTTTGTCGAGATGTCATTACATGCGGTTTTATTGTGCGCCCTGTCAAGCGCTGCTGATGATGAATACTGTGGATTAGCCTGATGAGACTCTTAAGTACAACTGGCAATTGCACGAAATTGCTTGGATCTTGTACACACTGGTAAAACTTTCTTGAAATTTCAATCAGGGTTACCAAATTGCCATTTTTACCGGAAATTCTTCTTGGTATTTTGAGACTCGTGTACACCGTACACTGGGAGCAACAATTTCTTTTATTAAAAACATTTTCTTCCCATCAGTAAATCTGGTAATCATTTCATAAATACTCCCATTAGATTTACTAACGCCAAATATATTTTCTTGTAATAATAATTGTTAATAATTTATTTGATTTAATGATTTATCCATGGAATAAAATACATACTTGAGTCCAGTGTATTTTATACTTGATTTAAGTACATATGTTGTACTTGAGGCAAGTACACTCTATACTTGATCCTAGTGTATTTATAATTGTTATTAGAATCGTGGAAACATCCATTTTGCATCAATATTCAGCGAAAATCTAATAGACTAGGATCAAGTATAAAGTATACTTGATTCAAGTTTTATTTTCGTGTCGCGTTATCGACTTCGCTTGATTGTTCGTCACCGTATAAAATCAAAAAAATGTCTTCAAAAAAATTGCCGCCTCGAAACTTTGATTTCAATTACAAAATTATTTATATATAATTCTCAATTATTTAGGTTTAAATGCAATTATTAGGTTTAAGTGCAATGTCTATTTTTAAAAACTCTCACTAAATATCTCATTAATTGTCAAGATTCAGGAAAATTTTTTAATGAGTGTTTGAATTTTCAAGCTCATCGTCAAAATTCAATATAAAATACAATTGAATTTTCAATCGATTGAAAATAGATGATGCCTTGATTATTAAAATACAATCTCCTGAATTTTCTAACCCGGAAGAGAAAATACTGACAATTGCAATTTTTCCCCAAAAATAGGGAAATTAAATTTGCATAATCGAAAAAACAACAATTATTTCTCCAAAAATCCCAGTAATTCGTAAAATATTTCCCAAATCATTAAAACTCCCCTGAATATCTCCCAAAAATTCCCCATCGAGACCGTAATTCAAAATCAAATTTCCACCTCCCAAGCTAATTACTTAAATAATCAATAATTAAATAATCAATTTAACTAACTAATTCACGGATAAAATAAAAAGTACTCACAATTCCGATGCAACTTCCATATTAAAACAGCCGGTGTATCTTCAGAAGATCGAAATGTCTCGTACGTAATTCCGGTGTAACCGTTCACATGTATGAACTTCCGGTGTGTCGGAAGTGGTGGAAGAATATGAAGAGCTCCCTTCAGCAAGAGGGGACCGACAAACTGCTCTCGAATCGATGAATTGAAATAAAAAAAAAAAACCTCAACAATTATAAATTTTTTGTGCCGTTGGGTTGACTCTCACTCTTTCCACAAATTCACTGATCCAGAAAAAACACATCACCCATGGTCCACACATTGATCTCCAATAAATGATAAACTAATGAGAATCGATGATATATAACCGACAAAAGAGGATGTGTTGCTGATGGGGTCTCTCTCAATCTGTGCCACCTTGGGTGCTTTACGATTAAAGCTTTATGTGCTCGAATACATATGTACTGTCACTAATATATCCCCCTACGACGATCCCTTCCTGTCTCCCAGCACCGGTCCTATCATAATGTCACAGATACATCGATAACGACCACTGCTTCACACATTTACCTCATGTATTCACTCCTCAACTAATCGCCATTGTTACGAAAAATATTAATTATCCTATTTGTCCACTGATGCCACCCGATTGATGTCAATTTATTTATAAACACCGAGCGAATTATTAGTCCATCAATCTTGACTTCCACTCCGGTTTTTACACTCTTCCTGATCCTCTCCTCAAACCTGTTACAAATCAAAAATAAATACTAAATTAAGATTTTTTTACTCGGAGAATGTATAATATTTAATGTAAATTATGAAGGTTCGAATCGGTTAACGATTATGGGAGGGATTGAGAAAGGTCACTATACCGTCAGGCTGAGAATAAAAATTCAAGGGGAAATTGGGAAACGATTTGTGAAACGATGAAATTTTGTAATGGATTATTAAGTATTCCTCTTTGTGGATATTTGAAGGTCGCTGTGGGTAGAATTTGATTTGATTGGAAAAAGTCAATCAGGGGAATTGATTAATGAAGAGAAAATCGTTGTGAGCCAATTATTTTCGGAAATTTCTATCGAGAACTGAAATTTCGTAATTAAAAATAATAATAATAAATCCGAATTGACAACATTTGGAATTCAAGAAGTGAATTAATTAATGATCTTTATTGACCTAGATAAACAATTTGGGAATATTTTTAATTTAATCCTTAGAATCAGAGAAATCCCAGAATTGTGTGGGAAAATTGTAATCAGCAATTATCACATAATTTTCTTTCTAAGACTTTCCCAAAAGAAAAACAAATATAAAGTCAAAATTTGTCTTTTCTCTAGATTAAATAAAAAAAAGTTTAATTTCAAGAAAAAAATCAGGAAAATTCATTAGTAAGAAGAAAATAGTTTTGAGGCACCAGTTTTGGAAAATCTCTGATATTAGAAACTGAAACTTCATAATTAAAAACAATAATAATAACTCCAACTAATTTAGTCAAGAATCATTTGGTTATAAATGATAACATTTAAATAAAAAAAAATAGATCAATTAAAATAGAAAAAAATAGATTAATTATAAATAGATAAAAATATTCATTCTAATTTTGTGAAACGCTGATTATAATAAATAATTTATCTGGCAACAATAAATGACATGAAAAATATTATCCGAATGGATAATTCAGATCTATTTTTCATTTTCTGCTTAACATGAGGAAAATGGTAGATTTCTGAGGGGAAATGGCGAAGAATTGTCCCATAATTTTCTTTCTGAGGGATAATTTTTTCGAATTTCCGAGGCTTTCCTCCCAACAATGAAGACTTTTAAGTATCTCTTTGTTCCTGTATCCTTCCTGTTAAAGTGGAAGAGCTTTTAGCACATCAACGCACCAGCTATAGACCTAGTTTTTTCTTCCACTTCTCGAGGGTTTTTCGGGGTCCGTTCTAGTTTCCCTCTACTCCCATTGTCCCATGAATCAACATCCGTATTTTATTGTATTCCTCCTCTTTGTTGACTCTCCTTCGATCCTACCCCAGGAGTTACGAGGGATTGGGGTGACCTGATCAGGACGGATTCGATTGGCTGAGGTTACGACAAAACAGATCGACAACAAAAAAATTCCGTACATTTTTCGATTCATAAAGATAAAAAATCGATAAAAAAAAAATTTTTTAAGACTCATATGCAGCTCCTCTCAACAATCCCCTCTCGATCCCCACAAAAACGCCCGATACATCGCCATTTTCTTGTTATCAGTCAGTCATTGTTGATATCAATGTCTCATTTATTGCAGGGAAGTTCTAGGCTGTGTGCGCCATTGTTCACAGAATAAATGAAATTTTTCATCTTCCATTTCTCGACGTTAAAAAGCGAGAGGTGCGATAAAGTGACCTCGATTCAGAATCGACAATCGAGTGGCCAGAGGGTAACACAGTGGTTGGAAAATTGCAGGGGGTACTTCTCCCCCTCCCCCTCTCTTTTTCTGAGGGGGGTAAAGGCGGGGGGGCAGGTGTCAAGTGCTTTCACGGTGTGGCACTAAATGCGCCTTTCAACTCGAGGATTTACTCATTTCAATGGAAATAATCGATCCATCGCGAGATATCGAAATGCACTAATTTCTGAATTTAACACCCCCGAGGTAAAAAATATACCCTTCAATTTTTTTTCTGAGCAGAAATGGACCTAATGAGTGATAAGAGCAATCGGAGAGTGGAGTACTCCGCTAATTATCCGGATCGATTTATCAGAGAGAAAAATGCGATTTATTACGAGGAGAAATTAAATTTTTTTTTATCCGAATCGTTCGTTTTTTAACGATATCTCGAAATCGAAGAGAGATGCTGGATTCTTTGTGGGGAGTTTTCTGTGGGGATTTTCGAGATCTGGAAAAAAGGTTCTGCAAAGATTTTTCTCTTGTATATAGATTTTAAGATATTGAGCAATAGTTACGGATAATTTCTCTTTCTCTTTACTAATAATTCCCGAAAGCGGAAATGGAGCGGTGAAATGGTTCGACGATTATTTTCAAATCATCCGCTCATTCCAACGACAATACCGTGACCATAACAAGTATCGGCATTTAAAAAATTCACAGTTTCACCAATGATCAACTGACTTTATCTCCTCAATTCCACTTCATTTAACTCTTCCTGTGGAGGCCTCTCGCGTGTCACTGCACATCGGTATAACCCACCCTATCGTCTCACAACTAGTTCCCCAGGCACATTCATCCTGACCCCCCCATGTTTTTCAGCATCCGTAACTTATCATCGAGGACGCAAAAAAAAATAATAATAATAATCTCATTTTCAAAAGTAAACCAGAAAGAAGTTGTTATCGGGATAATGAGAAAGGGGGACATCATCCCTCGGATTTCATCGCTGACGATATCAACTATCACAAAAGGGGATGATGAGGGAAAAACCAACCCCACACCTACTCGCAGCTAAATAAAAGGATACTTTACTGACCGTTTCGCTAACCCGGAACACTAAAGTCACATAATCACCTCGTAATACCCCTAAGTGATCTCTCACTTAACAACTCATTTTTTTTCTAGATCAAATACTGGAACGCATGTCTGGAAGCACCTGGAGTTTTCAGGTTTTCAACCAAGTGTTAAAAAGAGAGTTCTTCCGGTCCCTTCACTGAGTTTTTCAAAAATACCTCCAAAACCAACGAAAATACCCGATTTTCTGTAATCACCTTTTCTACAGCTCTGAATGATCTCTCCAAAAAAGGTCATATCAAAAATTTCTGGATCTCCCTTCATTCCAGAGATATTCCCGAAAAACTCACCGACGAGATAAATCGAATTTTCTGCTTTCACTGTTTCAACTTATCAATTGCTTCCTTTTTTGTATTTATAAAACAAAATATTAAAAATAGCCGAGACAACGAAAACCGCCAAAACAATTGGAACACTAATATAATCACATGAACACCTTAAGCCCCCAGGATGATTCCCTTAATTAACAAATCATTTGAGGGAGTGCTTTTTTATAAACGAAAGCACCTAGGGAGTGATGTTTTTTGGTTCTTACTTCAGACTATTTTTATTGGTTCCTTTTAATTGAGGTGAGGATCGATGACGATCGATGGTGGTTGGCGTGTTTTCGATGGGAATGGAATATGAGAGCGGTACTTGTTCGCGGGAGCACGCCACGAACACTTGTGGCGTGAGACAACTGGAGGAGACGCGAACCGAGCCAAAACCAAATGGTGGCAGTGGTGGTACCGCGCAAACACGGAGGTGGAGATGTCATTGGAAAATAGTGTGAGAGATCAGGGTGTCCTTCCATTCTCCACCCCTTGATTATTTTTTATATCACTCCCTCCAGTAACTCTTCAATTACGCACTTTACGCACTTACGTAGCTTTACGCACGTCATGATCGAAAATTCTGTACGATACACGTGCGCGGGATAGATTTCTTCACTTGTCCGGAAAAAAAAAGAGGTAATAGTAATTTAGGTGATAAGTTGAAATGGTCATAAGTTATTATGTATATATATATATTATATATATATTCTATATAGTAAAAACTGAAGAATAGAAAAAAAATCAAACCTATTTCTTTCTTATTGATAAAGGGGTGGGTTCGTTATCAATAAGAAAGGAATAGGTTTGATTTTTTCTCTGAGTGGCAAGTGATTTTTTTCCGATTCACTTTCACTTTTAAAAAAAAAAACGTAAACTTTTTTGTCACCTTTTTTCGTCGCATAACTAAGCTATATATATCATACTATATATACATATACAATTTATCAATTGAATTTTATTAAAAAAAAAACAAATTATGGGTTTATTTGTTTTTTTTTTTAGATATTTAAGACTCTTCGAATATTTAGATTTTAGATGTCAAATTATAAAACCTCATATCCCACGCGGGGCACGTCATATACATTAGTTTAAATTTAAAAAAATACATATATTTTGATATGCATAGCTATGTATAGACGGATATAGTTTCCATATTGTTTTCTGCATCTACTTGATTAAAGTACGCGCAAGATCGATTCAAGTGAAAATCCGATTGCAAACAGAATTTTAAAAAACGAAATAATCCTTCAGTATTATTATTATATATCATGAATTAACAATTTCATGGAAAGATTGATTCAAGAATCAGACTGGTTACTAATGAAAATAAATTAATTGCAAATTTCAGACGTGCGCGTTGAATCTGCGCTTTCTTTTTTGGTGTATAAATCCAATTCCCGTCGAACTGTAAATTGATTTCCAATAAATTTCCCACCCTGTATTATATTTCTGTAATTTCTTCGAGTTACGAGTCATCAGACCCCCTTCCGATTACTCTTTCATGCGGAAATGAAAGCGCACAGTTTAGGAAATGGAGGGTTTCTCCAAGTTACACTGTGAAATTCAATTTTACTTCTTCAAAAAACATTTCCCTCGCTTTTATCTCTCAAAAAGAACGAATGAAAGAAGCCAATAAAAACGAGAGTAAAAAAACAGAAATCAAAACCCGAATCACTTAGAAATAAATCAATAGGAGATTGACAATACAATTATCTCAAAACCGGTTCGAATGCCTAAATTAAAAAAATTATAAGAGCATGAATATTTTTTATAATTTCATACACCGTCACCTCAAAGAAATATTCAGTTTTAGTCAGTTGTATTCACCCTAACACCTCCAAAATTATCAGATATTTCCCGATTGTTTCGTTAGATCACAATGAGAGGGACAAACTTTTTGAAGAAATACAGAACGCACAGTGCGAGAGATTAAAAAGGAAAACGTTTCTTGATTGCTGCCAGGCAGGGAAACGCGAGGAAAATATCTAATCAAGTTCGAGAGATATTCGGTGGATTATTTTTATCATCGATTCTAGTTCAAGCTGCGTGTACAATTTATCAATTACTGTACGCAAATTTATGACGGATTTGTGGAGAACAATTGACAAATTAGAGAGAAATATCTCCTTTGATAATTGACCTGTCGATAAAGACCAATCAATAAAAATTGGAAACCTATTCGATAATTCCGAAACGAAAAGTTGATAATGAAAATTTCCCTAAACAATTTCGGAATTTTTCCGGAGCATTTGAATTTTCTGTGAAGAATTATCTTGAATTACGAGAAGCATAAATGAACTTAAATGCAATTGATTTAATTTGAAGGGTATAGAAGAGGAAATAAGCCAGGAAGAAATAGCTCGCACGTGTTAGAACCCCCAACTTAGTGGACCAATTAGTGGACAAAATTACCATGGGTCTATTTTTTCTGTGGCCTGTTTCTTCAGAGATTCAGTTTTCCTTCTCTTTATTCTTTTCTTTATTCACCTGGCACATTAAAGTGTCTGTACTCCACAACGATCTCTCTAGGAGACTGAATGGCAGTCGTCCCTACGAAAAAAAAAAAAATTGACACCAAAGAAAAAACTCTGTTATTTCTTCCTATAAAATAATTATTTGCTTATGTAAATTCCCAAACGACTCTTCAATGTCGTCCACATCGATTCGTTTTTGTAATCGACATTGTTTATTCATTATTTCTACGAATTTAACACAATAATTCCTCAAATTCCTGTAGACCGCGACAAATTTTCTCACTTTCATAATCGGTGTATGAACTAAAATTCTGTAATTTCCCTTAACCCTTGTCTTGATTGTCCGCCCAAGTGTCAGCCAATAGAACAGCATCATTCGACGCAGCTATTTTCGATATTATACGGATTATTTTTCCGACCGAAATATCGACTAATGGAGTTGCGCCATTCAACGCCACGTGGTAAAACCTACATGATATTATTTATTTTTTGATAATTCCCTCCAGTAGTTGCTATATATCAGAAACAAAACAAGTCAAATTCACTCCACGACAAACTGACAGATATGAAATTCTAATTTCTTAACTGTGAGTTCCGTCTGATGATGAAATTCTATTGGTCGACATTTGGGTCGAGAAAATAATCTCTCGAATACCCCAAGCTTGAAAATTATCTAGCATTTCCCTCAATGTTCCCTATAAACAGATAAAGTCATCAAGTTTAACTCCTTCATGTGTGGTATTATTTATTATATTAATTATTGTTATTATAAGTGATTATTTTTGGATTATTTTGCTTCTTATTTGTACTTAAAATAAAAAACTGTTGAATCTAATTAAATGATTAAATTATTAATTACTGATTGAAATTCAGAGATTAAATTATTTTGCGTTTTTCAAATATCTTTTTTCATTTTTCAAGTATAGACTCCGTCTCATGGTGAAATTCTATTGGTCGACATTTGGGTCGAGAAAATAATCTATCGAATACCCCAAGCTTGAAATTTATCTAGCATTTCCCTCAATTTTCCCTATAAACAGATAAAGTCATCAAGTTTAACTCCTTCATGTGTGGTATTATTTATTATATTAATTATTGCTATTGTAAGTGATTATTTTTTGATTATTTTCTTTCTTATTTGTACTTAAAATAAAAAACTGTTGAATCTAATTAAATGATTAAATTACTAATTACTGATTGAAATTCAGAGATTAAATTATTTTGCGTTTTTCAAATATCTTTTATCATTTTTCAAGTATAGACTTCGTCTCATGGTGCAATTCTATCGGCTGAAATGTGGACGAAATAAATAATGCCCCGAATACGACACGAGCTTCGAAATTAATCAGATATTTTCCTGAAAGATTCTCTCCAAATAAACGGCTTGTCAAGTGTCCCAGAAAAGTCAGTCGCGCTTCGCGCTCGTGAGTTTTTAACTTGAAAAACTTGATTCCTTGATTTGTTTGCAAAGAACCTGTCGGTAAATATCCGCTAACTTCGAAGCTCTCGTGGCATTATAAGTGATTATTCCTCTCCGTGGAGAGAGAAAATCGTGTCTGAAATTCTCGAGTTATTTGTAATCGTGTCAATTTTAACGAGACACTAGTGAGCAACATCCGTACGTTTTATTCGCGCGCCTTTTTCTCGCATTTCCAGGGGTAACGAGAGCGTGTGACACCCATGAATCCGCGTATTCCAGAAAATCCGCGGGAGAAGATGTTGAAAGAGAAGCGAGAGGTTTGTGGGAGGTGACGAGGCGGGGAGACAGGAGGGTAAAAAAAAGTCAGAGGGTTTTTATCCTCCTATTTTTGTAACTCATCTCTCTTTTTTTTTGCCAGAGCGAACAGCACAGGGTGAGGGATTGAGTGGGTGGGATTTGAGTTTCCAGGTACGCAACAAGCGGCAGCTTCCACGTATCCATGGCAACGGGCATCCCTAAGGATCCACCTTGGTTGACGTTTAGGCGGGCTTCCCACTCACTCGATCTTTCATCCCATTTTTTTTTCACCTCCAACCATTTTCTGCACTTTATTTCCATTATTTCCGCCTCCTGGGAAAAAACAATCTGTTGATAAGAATCGGAAAATCCCCGGGTGTTTATTTCACTCCATTGCAATTAAGAGAGTGCGTTAAAATGATTGAATTAATCTCAGAAATATTTCAGGAATTTTTTTTTTACTTGGGATCCCTCACGATTCTGCGATAATTCGTTGATCAATTCGGAGTAATTCATCTCCGTCGTTTGGGGATTGAGACGGTGGGACAAAAGTTGGGAAAAAAAGAGAATTTGAATAAACCGGGAGGAATGATGGGAATTAATGGGGGCGATGGGTGGATTGACAATGAATACGGAGTATTCATTAGAAATAGGGTTCATTGAAAATTTAATGAGGGCTTCCGAATAATGAGCGTAAGCCACGATAGGTCTCTCCATTACTTCTTTTGTTCAGTTATTCAATGACGCTATGACACTATGAATGATACGTTCATTGTTTATTATTTATATTCAGAATAGAATACAATTATGTTGAGTTATTGTGCAGTGGTTACACTGTTGGAAAAATACATTTGAAATTGTAAGTAAAATTCGAAATTAATAACAACGAAGTGACATGAAATTTCTGTTGAATTCTTTAGTAACCGATTAATTAATTTATTGAAAATGTGTGGAACTTTTACACACCCTCCCCCACGAATCGAACAATTTAAAACATTCAGATTATATTTGATGTTGAGTTTTTACGATGAGACTCAAAATTCAATCTTCACTGAAAAATCAATTATCATTTATCTCAAAAACTCAAATTTTCTTTTAATTTCCTGATAAAACCGAAATTTTTCATTTCAATTTTCTCATTATCCATTATTTTTCGTTTTAATCTTAATTGGAATTGAACTCAAACTCATATAATTGTAAATTGAGATGACTTTATGATTGAAATTTTAATAAATCTTTAACAATGTACTCGTAAGTAATGATTATTCATTGTATAAAAATTGTGTTAAGCGTGAAAATAGTGAATATTCATTAAAATTTAAAACAGTCGCACCAGTTTGAATTGAACTGGCGAATGGCTCGAAAAGAGTGGAGAGTGCAAATTACTTGCGAATCTCGATTCACATTCACAATGGAGAATTCTAGCTCTGGGATTTCGCACGAGCGTTGACTCTCCCGGGATCAATAATCTCATCATCAATGGCATACATGTGTGTACGTACGTCCCACTCGCAACCTTCCAGCGAATAATGAGAGGATTCAACCCTCCACCATTCATTGATTAAACAAAATCCTCCGTAGATGGTCAATCCGCTTTCATCGAGGAAAAAATGGGCAAAGCTGGAGGACTCCTATAAGTCAAACCAATTCATCATTCTGTGAAGCTTTTTGTTCATTTTTATTTCCTCTCTATTTTTAGTTGTCTATTGTTTATCATGACTGGGACCAGTCGTCTGGGCATTAATCGTCGTCGTCAGCCCTTGCCATTTCCCTCGAGGGTCAGGTTGAAGTACTTTGGGTCCAACTTCAAGTTTAGGGCACATGGGGCCACTGTACTCAGCCAACTGACTAACTTGTTCTTGCTGAAAATAATTTTTCGTTTGTATTCATTTTTCTTATAGAAATTTACTTGAGTTTTTAGTTCTTTCTTTAGTTTTTGGAAAGCGGAAGAGATTCCACCAGTGCAAAGGCAAGAATTTGTTAATGTATTTTTAATTTTATTTAATATCAATTTTGATTTAATAACTATTCATTGAATTTAATATACAAATTGGTAAAATTCTTTCAGAAATTATTGAAGAATTTGGGGTTGAAAAAAAATTTTGAAAGAAAGTTTTAGCAGTTTTTCTGTCTTGTCGATTGGTCGATAATGTAGGGAAAATGATGATACTGAAAACGTGGTATCAATTCTCGAAATTTTTTAAATATTCACTTTGACTCAGTATGAATTATTGACAGAAGAATTGATGAATTATTATTCTTCCAAAAAGAAAATTGCAATTTGTCGAAAATTCAATTGAATTAGTTCACTATCTCGCTCGGTACTCGTTAGTCCGACGCTTTTTCCACGGATAAAATCTCTCAGAAAAAAACATTTCCCGCATATTCCTCGTCGGGCAATTAATTTAAAAGAATTGCACTTGATGAATCTTCCGCAAAAAAAAATTTCCCTCACATAACAATCAACGCGAGAGAAACTCCTGGAACGAACAGATTTTTGTTATAATTATGTTTATTCCACTTGTTGGTTTTTTCCAGAGTTAATTAATTAAATTATATAAATTACTTTTGTGGGACAACGAATAATTTGTCTAAATACATTCATTTTTACCGGAATTTTTACAGGGGGAATCAGCCAAAGAATTTCGCTACGCGAGGAAAAAAAATCACGTAAAATTACGTGATCTCCCCCAGCCAAGGGGGATTTGCCCCTTAAATTTGGGGAAAGTCGTAATACTTTGTCTCTGTAGTTTCTGACAAGTTAATGGATGGCATCAAATAAAAGTTTACTCATCTCCACAACAAAAATGACCGAGCCAAAATGAATGGACCGAAATTCCCCTGCGTTTCCAATAACACCATCTGCAGTATTTCCTCATTTCGAAAGTACGAGAATTTATTTAGGTGGATGTCTTAGGGATTGGAGTGTCTTACCTCATCGATGTGTTCTGAATGAGTTCTCCTGACAAGCAAGGGTGAAACTGGAGAAAAGTTGTTCCTTCAATTGGATGCATGGCCTGGGATAATTCATTGTAGCCGACTCCCTGCTGCACGAGATTTTGTATTGATTCCACTGTCACTGCATTCACTCCCGGAAAATCTGGACATTCAACATCGAATTTCAGCGATTAGATCCTTGGAAATAACTTCAGAGCTTTAAAACGGTTTACCCCATCGCAGAAAAATCGAATCTTTAATTTATAGACCGGAACTTGTAAAAACGGGAATCATTACTCCAATAAGAAAATTAAAAGTTGTGGGAAATAATTTTGTAATTTCGATTGAAATTTTGGTAATAGTATAATAGAGCACTTCATCTAATTTTCCATTTTAATTGAATATTTCTCTCTCGGTATGGATGATAGGAGTTATAATAAATTCCATTGAAAATAACTTTGCGCTCTCAGTCGCCGTCATATTTTCCGCTCATCTCCAAGTAAAATCAACTTATCTGCTTTCCCCACTTCATCAGCGAGAGCAAATAACCAAAATTTGCTTTGGATCTCTAAATAGACTTCTAGAAGCACTGCGAAGTACTCCAAAATTGGCAATCTTCTGGTGAATCCATCGAATATCAATACATTCAGGATCAAATACTGCCCTTCCATTTCCGATTGACTTCATCTACTGGAATTCCGCGTTCCTCTTACCCTTAATTCTCTACCCGAGACAACTCTCGAGACTTCGAACGAACAATTACGAGTGCCCAATCGAGAGATTGAGGTCTAATACAGATTTCCCGGCAAATCGCTCATGCACGACCGATTCTCAAGGGCATCGATCAATAAATCGATAGCTCAACAGGACGAGAACATGAAATTGCAGAGAATCGGAACTTCAATTGCAATAAATAAAGCAGTGCATTATGAAATTACAGAATAATTGTGTCATACTAATTATGATAGGTGCATTCCCGTCGAGATATAGTTGTAATTAATTATTAATTCCTGCTTAGAGTACCTGAAATCCAGGCATTGAAATAGAGAACAGGAACTCCGTAGCTCATGGACCACAGCACATGGTGTTCTGTACACATCGGGCAATCCTCCACCTTTTTTGCCTCGAAGGGATCATCAACTATTTTGTAATTCTCCAACCCCTGGGGATATATTCCACTCAGTGCACTCGCCAGATTGCTCGATATAAACGTCTTCGCCTTTCTACACAAGTAAGCCTGTCCAGGTGCTCTCTGCAACCCCCCCAAAAAAGAAGAACTTCATTGATACGAAACTCATACGCACTAGATATTGTGTCAATTTCATAAAAAATGTGACGCATTCCCACGAGAGAAACATTTCCTCATGTAAAAATATTAAAAATATTGTAACAAATATTAAATCAATTCGTATTAATAAGTAATAATATTGTAAGGAATATAACATTAATTTATTTGATTATAATTGATTCACTCATTCTTTTCTTTTTGTCCGATCCTTCTTCTGAAGATGGTGTCACTTTTTTGATGATATCGCTATATTTCTATAATTCTATTCTATATTTCTATTCTATTTATATATTGTGCGCTTTTCTATTATATGTTTGTGTGTATTTACAAATATTTTTCCGCGGGGTTCAATCGAGCTCAAAGCTCTATCAACTTTTGAATTATTGATTATTTCATTAAGAATGAAATTGAGAGTTCTTGCTTGGGAAATCGAAGGTCATGGGTTCGGTTCCATCGCAGATGACTTTGCAATGTCAAATTTGATTGCTCAAACAGTTTTGGGAAAGATTTTTTAACCTGATATTTTTATTCTGCGAAATTCAAAGTGGATATTATCCCACTGGATTCGAAGATGCAGTTTGCAGACCCGAAGATCATGGATTCGAGTCCCAATTATGTCCCAATTATTATTTCAATATCAAGTTCATTGCTCAATCAATTTTTGGAGAAGACATGTGAATGCAGTATTTTTATTCTGCAAAGTTCATGTAAGTTGCTATCCCATGCACATGAATGAACACAGCATGAAATATACGTGCATAATGGAGTGCCTCGGCAGAGAGTCATTCCTCTATCGATCTGCGCGTGGATTACCTCGTCACCACGGAGTTCCCAGCTGTCCGAAATTTCATTCGAAACCCGAACGAGACTCTTCGCATCGATGAGAAATTCGTCCCAACTCAATGTTCCTGGACCATCCATCTCAATAAAAACCTGAAGCTGCAAGACCGCTCCAAACCTAAATAGATAAATATCCCATTAATCAGTGCATTAATCAAAAAATCCCCAGTAAAATTAATTAATCAATCTCAATGATGCTGTGCCCCAGGGACCAGAATTCCGCATCTCCAATGATTTTTTATCTGCATTTTCTCGCCATTGAAATTCCAATCCCAGTGGAAATCTACGGATCTTCGGGAGTATTTAAGAATAAACAGAACTGCATGCATTAGGATAATAATGTCATATCGATTCGATGAGAAAAATGAAAAAGGGGAAGCTGCACACCCATGAGAAGAACCAGTGCCTCCCCTTCATCACCCCCTCGGCGCCTCGTCAATTGTCGACTATGTCAAATCGGCAGCACTCGTGCAACATCGGACAAGATCGTCCTCGAATTCCCCTTCCATTTTCTCTACCTTCTGATTTTACCCATCTGAATCCCATCTCTCTGTCATGTGTGAAACCTACGCCTTTGTGTTGGGGGTCGTAAACATTCGGAGTTGTACGCGCAAGTTTCTAGGGCCAATCGTCAATCGCCAATTTATCAGTGACGTACTAATGAGAAATCTATTGCGGCGATTTTGCGATTACAGAAATGTATAAGTTGAGGAAAAATTAAAGCCATCGTTCCTATGGTTCAGATTAATTTTTATATCATATGCAGGAATTACAATATGACCTTGAAAATCATGTGTAATAATTGATATTTAATCGTTTCATATACTAAATATTTACCAGCCAACTATCATGTATTATACATTTATTTTCGTACGTTTTTATAATTTTCAAATTCTAACTAAATAAAATAAAAATTGTTTAAGTAAACATTTAATTAAACATTATTGAAAAAAATTCGGCAAAATATACTGACATGTTTCCACTATTTTTAGCCAATTGATATTTTCCAAACAAAATATATGTCATGTATGTCAAGAAGAAAAGGTTTCTGTTGAATTAATTGACTGTAGCTAGTAAATTTACTAACTTTCCATTAAAAATATTTTGGGATTTCTTGGGATTTTCCCATAATTATTAAATATATTCGGCAAACGTAATTTTTTTGTCGTTCGAAACTGGAGTGGAATTTGAAATGGAGTACACCTACTTTTCCCACGCGGTTTCGGAGCTAAAACTCAAAACAATCCATCCGCTCCTGAACCCTGCGACCGGTCAGCGCGCGCACCCGATTGCCATGTGAAAGCGCATGCGCCGATGGTAGACGTGTCAGTGCGCCGACGTAGAGGGGAGTCGAGACGCGGCAAGAGGTACAGACGCGCGCGTGTCTGTGACTCGACAGTTGGTGTATCCACGCATTTATCCAAGTATCAGTGAGAAATGATTCTCCCCTCCCTGAAAAACCGAGCAACCGGTAAATGTGTGAGTGACACCCGCGTCTCTACGTCGGCGAGTGAAAGAGAGGGGGAATTTGGTGGATCCTGCGAGGGGTTTGGGGGAATTGGAAACCTGAACGAAGATAGAATCACGAAAAATCCTCAAAACGCGAGAAAGAGAGGGGTCTGCAGTCGGGGGGGAGTAAAAAAATAGTCTCACTTGTGTTGGTGTACAGCGTCGAAAGAGTGTTATACTGTGGGGGGTGTAGGCGATGCTAGGCGGTGAAGTAAGGTGCGACGACCAAGTGAAGTGACCAACAGAGGCGTAACTTCGTCCCAACATAGTCCAGGGGGAAAATAAAATAATTAATATCTGACCTGTCTGACTGAGGAAAAAAAAAAGTCGTTTACCTCGAGTCGAAATATCACCCTTGACCGATCGAATTGTCACTTTGCGGACCAATGGTGGGGTCTGAGGACGCGAGTGATAATACAACTTTGTGATAACAGTATGAATACGTGAAGAAGCCCCTGCAGAAAAAGGCGAGAACGCCACAGCTTCGAGTGTCTCCCTCTTACTCCTAACCATCAGTTTTTAGACCATTGGCTCGTGATTATTCACTGTCTCACTTCAACACGCGTCGTTACACCGGAGTTTACGTTTTTTTTTTTCTCTCGATTATAAACGTTCCACTCCTTTCGGTGGAATAACACTCGTTTTGTTGTACTGCAATGACGACGCGCCACTTAACGCCGGATTTCAACCCGCGAATGGAGCCATGAGGAGTGAAGCCGTTGGCTGAAGGATAACTGAACTATTTTTTGAGGATTTTTTTTTTGAGGCATCTGGAGATCAGGCGAAATTGCTGGACAGTGACGCGAGGGAGCTTTTTTCTTCCTTTGTTTTTTTTTTAGTTTATTTCGATTTAACCCGGGTGTGAGGAACTCTGAGTTTTGTGATATTTCTCGGAATTTTTCGAAGAATTATTATTGAGGGTTTTTTCATTTTTCGGAGATATTTGAGGGTTTGGTGTGGAGTTCAACGCTGGAGAGATTGACAAGTTCACAACAATGTACGCCAAGGGGAAGGGGTCTGCTGTGCCCTCAGACAGTCAAGCCAGGGAAAAGTACGTATTTTGATTATTTATTTCGGAGTCCACGCTCCAAAATGAAAACTAATAAAAGATTTGATTAGCTCATGGATATCAACAAGTTTGAAGAGGATTTGAAATTTCTTTTGACATGGGAGTTCGTTGCTCTCAACCATTTGAGATGATAAAAATGACGCAGCTAGGAATTCGTGCTGTTGTGTTGTGGTGCTTTAGGCGTTTATTATTGACAAGTCATAGTACATGGGACACGTGACAGGGGATTAGGATTGAGCACCTCTGTTCATGTTCTAGATAAAATCCGGGGCCCCTTTCTCCTCTCTTTCTCACGCAAAATTCTTTGCCGCCTTGTGAAGAACAAATTCATACACGAATACGTGGACGGTTTAGAGCCTTTTCCCTTGATTTTTTTTTCCGCAAAGAATGGAGAATTCCGTTAGGATTGACGGACCAGGTCGTTGACACTCGGCCGATTAATGCACTTGAAGCAGACCGGAAATCATTGAACATTTTACTGTGTTACAGTTGTTGTAGTTGGTTATTGTTTCATTGGGATATTTACAGTTGTTTGTCGTTTCTTTTTTTTCAGGCTGGCGTTGTATGTTTACGAGTATCTATTGCATGTTGGAGCACAAAAAGCAGCACAAACATTCCTGTCGGAGGTAATTCATGGGATTTTTCATTTTCTATGTATTTTAATATGGAGGTATTTGGATTTTTTATACTCATGCGGTGGCATTATTTTACAGATTCGATGGGAGAAGAATATCACATTGGGCGAGCCTCCAGGGTTTCTACACTCGTGGTGGTGGTAAGTTTTTGCATGTTTTCAATTATTTATATGGGAGACTATCGGTTTCAAGTAGAGTCATTGAAGGACTTTTTGTGGATCATTACATTCCCGATGAAAAAGATCCTTTAGTATTCCCTCCTAGAATCAATAGCTTTCGAGATTGAAAAGATTTTGGATCGAGACCTAAACGGTTAAAGTTCTAAATCTGACATTTAATTTTTTTAATCTACAGAAAATTCTATTCATGCATAATAATTCCGCCAGAGTTCAGATAATTCCCACTATTTAGCGATAAGTGTCGAATATTTAAAACTAATATCATTCCTAATGTTTGTAACAGTAAAAGTATTTGAATGTCGAGTACAGTTGTTCATAAAATCTGAATTGAGGGGGATTATTTGGAGTTGTAAAGTTGTGATGACTTTGAAGTGTAATTTTTATTAGATGAGGTAATGAAATGGACTGAATATTATTTTACAGTGTATTCTGGGACTTGTATTGTGCAGCCCCTGAGAGACGCGACTCGTGTGAACACAGTAGTGAAGCAAAAGCTTTCCACGACTATGTGAGTATAAAAATTTGACAAAAAATTGACTTCAAATCATATTCTTAACATGGAACTATCGCCAGTTGCATGATAAATTAAACTAATTGGCTTGTATCGATTTTCTAGGGATTTGTAAACAGTGGTTATGGAGTGAATGGAATTACTCACGTAAGTATTCTGCTGCAATAATTCATTCATATAACAGGGTGTCAACTTAACTCGTCGACATTCTTCCCATTGAATGCTTGAATTTAGAATCATTGGGCTTGAACTAAATTAATGGATTGCTAATTCCCCATTCTCGGTTATTATAACAAACCGATCCTCAACTGCATGACGAGAATCTTTCGCTTTCACTTGGAAATGATGTTAAAATTTAATTCACCTACGTGAATGTGGTTATCCCATTGATATTTGTGGGAGTTCGATTGCTTAACGAAAAGATGATTACAGAATGCTGGACCAGCCCCATCTCCGCTTGGGCAGATGCCACCCAATGATGGCATGCCTGGTGGCCCAATGCCTCCTGGATTCTTTCCAGTAAGTTAATCACATCCTATTTTTCAATCGACTACTATTTTTCCTTTACAAAATTCATTTTATCATTGCAATTAATGTCCCCAAATAAATAATTTCATCAATTTTATGTACCAAGACACCTAAGAAACAATCAATGTTTTGTTTGATAAATCAATAGTTTCACGAATAATTATTACTAACAATAATATCACTAATTGAAAATGATAAATCATCTCATACGGTGCACGTTGTACATAAATGTGAATGTTGTCCAGATAATTGAATCGAATTTATACTTGGGAAGGGATGAACGTTTTTTCACAAGTAAAATTATTTTTCCCCCCCACTAACATTTGTGTCTCCATCCAATTTGTTATAGATATTTTTTCAGTATAAATTCATGGCTAGAGTTACACTTGATTCAAATGTTATTTGTTGGTTATTTAGATTTATTAGGGAGGAATAACCTAGTGCTCTAGGGGGCTGGAAATTTAGTGTAGATATCACTGAAAAGAGTTGAATTATTTAATTTTGTTATCGATAATTTTGAAACAAGTGTATCAGTGTCTTTTGTCCATGCTTGACAACACTATTTTTACGTACATGTATATTTATTTTTCATTACTCCTATGCTATGTATTTATTAACTAATATATGTGCGCTCGTCCAATCACTGACTGTTTTTTCTATTTCTCTGCTGAGTGATGAGTCAACGTAGGATAAATGCAAATGATTTTTTAATAACAATGAGCAAAAATCGTCTAGATACTATAGATTAGATATACCACGATAGAACAGTAGAGCCAAAACACCTGTCCAAATATATTGTTGAAATGTTTTTGCATCCTCACTTGCATAATGAGAAGGAAAATCTTCATCTAGTGGATATGAAAATACTTTTAAAATTCAAACTTTCATGGCGTGCTCTCGGCATTTTAATAGTGAACCAGACTAGTTAAATTCCTGTGAAAATTCATATGCGAAAGAAACATCCGATGACAGGATTTTGCATATGTTGCTTGCTCAATTCTTCATTCATATCTTCGTCCACGTTCAGCAAAACTGTACGGTTAAATTTATCGCTGTGATAACTCTTATCGTATGTGCTGACCCTACTCAAAGTGGATAATTTCCTGGGATTTCTATTGATACGAGACAACATATCCCTGATCGAGGAATTAAAAGATAAAGAATCATAAATTCACATAAAAATTATATTTTACTAGTAAGCAGTCCTATAAATGTCCCATACGATTGGAGAAGAAAAAAAATATTAATGCACGAGATGTATTCAGCAATGGAGGAAGTGCAATCTTTTTCAAATGTTTAAATTCTTTTGGAACTACAAAATATTATTAATTGCCGTGAAAAATCGGTTTCACTGCTGAATTTTCATGCTAACTCGTAAGTTACATGTCTAAATATTATTATCCAAAATCTTAACCGTCAAAATATCATTTCCAAAGATATTATTTTCAGAAATATCACACGAAATAAAATGTATTATAATGACCAAAATGAAAAAGCTTTTTAAATATTTCATACAAAATCAATATTTATTATTATTAGCTATCATTGTTTTCAATGGTAATTATCAATTGATTAGTGTGTGATAAGAAAATCATTAAAGTTAGTATAATTATGATGAAAACAAAAAATCAAGTAGAACGAAATAAAAAAAAACTTCAAGATATTGACATGATATTTCAGTTAGTAAACATTTGACGAGTAATATTTTGACGTGATATTTTAGCTGAAAATATTTTGACAATTAATATTACTTCCATTAATATTTAAACATGATACCGAAATCATACTGGGGTGAAATATTTTCGCGAATCGTCGATGAGGGGAAGTCACAACGATTCATCGACCCATGATCATATTTTTTACAACATTCACCCCCTTTTTTCGAGCCTCTCTAGTAATTATAGTTGTTGCCTGGATCGCAGTGTTGCTACATGTCTGTCGTTTGCGTTGCTTGTTGCAGAACAACTCGACAATGCGACCATCTCCGCCCACACACCCCTCATCACAGCCATCTCCCCAGCACCCCCAGCCACCCCCGCCCTCACACTCGCAGATGATGCCCGCCCAGGTAAGCCTCATTCAACACACACACGTCACGTTCATTTATCAACTATTATTTTAACCACATTCGTTCATTATCATCATTTCGTCCAATTTACCTCGTCATCGATTGCATTAATTGGATTAACTTTAGAGTCTGCTTATATCCTCTTTTTATATCGATATACCTGTGCGTTTTACGTGTTACTAACTTGAACACAATCAGCATGATATTCATTTTATTTGTTTGATTGATTATTCATAATCCAGTAGTGGAGTGGTGGAACGTCTTTCACTGGTTTTTCATATTGGTGATTAGTTTTTGCAATTGTTTTGAACCCTCAATTCTCTCATCGAAATAATTTAGGTATCAGCAAAATTTCATTGTAAAAAAATTTCAAATTTCCGATAACTTTATGATAGGAAGTACAATAATCTCTTTACGATTTTGAAATGTAAAATAACTTATGACCAAAATTTACAAATTTGGGGAAATCAATTCGTTGGAACTCACCATTTTGCTACTTTATGATTATTGACACTATTCACCTGGGGAATTTTCATTCCACTCACTTATTTTTTTTATTATTTATAAAACATTGTTTAATACTCGGTGAGATAATCAGGTAAGCTACATCAATCGGCTTTGTGCATCAACAGCTCATAAGTTTCTTCCAAACGGATACTTTTAATGTTGCGAAACTATCAGCAAGGTAAGACTGGGAGTTGATACCTTTCCAGTGATTTAAAAAAGCCCTTGCATTTATTTATTAACGGATAACAGATTATTTGGCATCTTGAAACCCCTCGCCAATTCCTAGCCTGAATTTTATATAGTAATAATTCACTGAATTTTTTGATTAACGAACGTTCAATTTCAATTGTAACTGACAATTGTGAAGGATGTGGTACTCCCTAACGCGTGAACATCAGAACATTTCATTAAATAATTTAATTAATAATACTGAATACCGTGACAAGATCTTACATAATTTGAATTCAAGGGAGAAAGTTGAATGTGGAGATGTAATATAAATGAATATTCTTGTTACAGTTTATGGGACCCAGATATCCATCAGGACCTAGACCGACAGTTCGTATGCCACAAATGGGAAATGATTTCAATGGGGTGAGTTAATATTTGTGAATAAATATTTAGAAATATTATTTTCTCTGCATCACGAGTGCGCGAGCTATTGGAAAAATGTTTTTTCCCACTCCTTCAAATCGCAGTTGATTATTTATCAGATGCAGTAGCCTGTTTGCTACAGTCTTTACGTATTGCCTGTTCTCCAATGAATTGCCTTTGAGAAAGTGCTCATAAAAATGCAATCACACACTTTAGCATTGCGTCAGGTGCGATAACGATAGGACCAAGCATGAACTAACATTGAAAAAATTAAACAATTTCTGTCCACCCTATCCATAAATAAATGATCCGTGTCTGCTCCTTTTCTTCGGTTTTGGGATAATTCATCGCTTCCTTTGGTATCGAGGTAATAATTTGTACTCCTTGAAGGCACGTAAAAAAAGTTGCAAAAAAATACGCGAGTTATGGGATTCCCAGCTTTTCATGGAGCCATGGCGTTTCGAACCTGAAAATGAAATTCTTATGTTTAATTAAAATTTTCACTGCCGTTCAGTTTTGCTATATTTCCAAAGAAAATTAATAAGAATATTCATGCACCAGTTTAATGTCAATTTTATGATCTACGGAATGGCCTTGGTTTTATCTGATTTAATTACGTTTTCGTAGGATTATTGAAGTTTTCCATTTTTAAACCTTGGGTCACCGTCTAAATTGCGCGTTTACGCCTAATTATGGGAGCATTCAATGTAATTTATGAGGCTTTATTATAGACTATTTTAATGGTCGTTACAATACCGTTCGCATTTTCCAATTCTATAGATTTAATCAGGAGTTATCGAGGATAATGCGTCGAATTTCCGGTGTCAAATTTTGAAAAATAGTAATTCCGTTTAAATAACATCCACGGGCCGTTGCGATTCTCGTAAATATTCATGTATTTCATCTTAACGTACAAGCTAATCAAATATATAATCCAAATTAGAAAGGAGAAAATATAAATTATACAGAAAATGTCTAATATTGAATTTATTAATCAACATTAAACAGATTAGATTCAATTAAATGCAAAGCACCTAGCGATGTTTTAAAAAATACAACTCCCAATCTAATTCCCAGTTGATTAATCAGGCAAATGATAAAAGAAATACGCAACGATCAAAACAATAATTATTCTCGATTAAACCAATAGTTTTTTTTATTCCTGTGTTACAGCCACCAGGACAAACAATGATGCCAAATAGTATGGATCCAACGAGACAAGGTAAGCAATGAACTCGTTCACCCCTAATTCTTCAATTTCAACTACTTTAATTTATTTGCGGATTAGCGTTTCAACAGAAGAATGATATAGCCGCATGTTTACCAAGATTTACATAAATATCAAATACACAGCGAATTGAACGAACGCGTTATCATTTACAACGGATTGGATTGCTGTGATGTGGAGTGGATTGGTTTTTTTTTTTTTTAATTTGAAGATTTTCCTTTGAAATGCCTGGTCGAGAGCAGTGGTGTAGGTCAATCCATCGGAAAACCCATTATTTCTCTTCCAAATTTAGCTGATGAAGTACCGAAGTCTCTTTTTCATTTGTGGCGGTAGATTTTTGCAATACGTTCTGATTCCCTTTTTCGAAGGTAATCGTTTGTAAATTGAATATATCCCTGGAGCAGTTATTTTATTCCCTCAGTAGAAAAGTGAAAATAAGTCGAATAAAATGAGGAATTATTTTCTTGTGCGGTTGTGATCGTTCAAATCGGGGAAAGTGATAATAAATAATTACTGTACCACTGTTGAACAACTAGGCTCTGCCATCAACTTGATACCTTACCTACCTGCCGTACTAATGTGTGCTCTTGTGTTCCTCAGGCGAAGCTGGAGAGTTTGTAGGGTGGCAAGGTAGGAAAGCAACCCCAACAATCGAATCACACTCACTTAGTCAAGCCTAACTTCTTGGTTTTTATCAACATTTTTCCATTTTATTTATTCATGCCCCCCCTTTATTTTCATTTTTCTGCCTACTCGTCATTACTTTATCAATACGGAGATCAATTCCTGTGAAAAATCATTCCTAGACTCCAATAATTGTGCTCAGTACTGGCTTTCCTGGAATTTTACAATTCTATTACAATCTATTACATTTTTTTAATCAAGCCCTGGTAATAGCTTCTGAAAGATTAAGATGCACATTAATTACGTTTTAGTGATGTTTTTTGTGGAATTTTTTTCACCGAAATACAGACGCACAAGTTTCTGTCACAATCGACACAAATTCACACTCTGGTGTTCACGATCTAGCACTTCAGCATGACAAAATACAGAGATAACGTCATTACCTTAAATTGACAACGGATTTTGATTAGATTCATGTGTCCTAATGACTAAACAGCTAATTATGATTAATGTGATTAATTATCCTTGTGATTCGGATTTGTTTTGTGTTAATGCCATCAGCGCTTAATTCAAATAATCATTCCCTGGGGATTTTAAATCGTTTCTCGCACCATTAGTACGTCATGCATCAATGCACATGACAGATTGAGAGATTATTTGAATTTTTACTTGGGAAGACTAATTAACTGTCACTTCTAGAACTCTAATGCCTAAAAACACATGCAGAGTGAGCCAGACATTACGCTTTCTTATATTTTTTTTTTAATTTCAGAACTCCGCAAGCTTTCACGCCACAATCCTGCGTCCTAATCAGTTATTTCGAAAAATGATACTTGTATAAATTTGCATGCACTCCTATATAGCTTTGTGTTTCAAGGGGCGAGGTGGGTCATAAATTTTAAAAAAGACCTATTTTTTGCCCAGCGGCTCGATTAGTTGAAGAATTTAAAGAATATATGCATTTTTTAAAATCTAAAACGTTTGAAAATATTTATCTAACAATATGCGAAATATTACTAATCCTGAATTTCCGTGATTGACGGTTAATATATTATTGTTTAACTGTAACTATTTACAAATTTCCGGAGATGTGAGGTAGATAATTTTCGAAAATAAGATTTCTTTTCAGATTTTCAATTCCAAAATATTCGGAAAAATCATAATAGAATGAATAATTTTAATTTCACTGCATTATCATAATCATTAAAAATCTCCAACAATTCGAGCTGCACCGATTATTTCGATAGAATAAGGAATTCTTCCCTTGGACTGGGCCACGCTTTATCCATTCTTCGTATCAATGCCAATTAGTGATCTAAAGTTAGCCTGGAGAATAATAAAAAATGGTGTAATGAAAGAGAGAATAATGAAACAGGAATAACGAAGGTGTATTTCTATAGGTCCACCTGGTATGAACCCCATGAATCCGAGGATGAATCCACCGAGAGGGCCAATGGGACCGATGGGCCCCGGGAATTATGGCCCAGGAATGAGAGGACCACCTCCAAACAGTAGTTTAGGTCCTGGAGGGCCTGGGGGCCCTGGAATGCCACCGATGAGTATGGCAGGACCTGGGGGTAGACCTCAATGGCAGCCCAACACATCCACTGTGAGTTACTTCATTTTTAGGTTTTTACGCGAAAATTTCCCGGGGAAATTAACTCTTGTGGTTCTCTCAACAGCCTATGAATTACTCATCATCGTCTCCGGGTAATTATGGTGGTCCTCCAGGCTCGACAGGGCCACCAGGTCCAGGTACACCCATAATGCCAAGTCCACAAGACAGCAGTAATAGTGGGGGTGAAAATATGTACACCATGATGAAACCAGTACCTGGAGGCAATATGCCTGGAGTGAGTTGCCCGTTAATTGATAAAATTGAAAAAACAAAAAAAAACAAACAGCAGTTAAATAGCGTCGAGATTTTTTTAATAAACAACGACAAACTCTTCCGACAAAATAGTTGAAATCTGTTGTATTGTTAAAAACTTGACATTTTTAACAATGACTAAGTGCCATGAATTTCTTGGAGAATTCTCTATTTTCAGGTTCATGTGGCACTGAAAAACCGTGAGATTGTTGAAAATTCAAGCACTATTTTCCCTTTTTTCCAATAATTTCCCAACATGAAACCCCAATTTTCCGGATGTTTTTAATTGTATCTAATTTTGAATTTTCACGACGTGCATGAAAATTGAAGTTATCATTGAAAAATCAATTACCATTTGACGCCCGCATGTACTATCTATCGATCTATCGAACGTAATCCTTCGTTGGAATTTTATCTTGTTAATATAAACCACGTTTTAACTCACATTTCAAATTATGCAAGGGAAACTACTCCAAGGGCTATTGAAAAATTTGGATAAAAAAGGAAGAAAAATTGATATTGATGTTGATTTTACGGGATGTGCCAGTTTACAGAAAAATAATTAAGAATCCATTTGAAAGTCAATAACAATATAGAATCAAAAAGGACAATATGGAATGTAAAATGTTACCGATCGTAAACTGTGTATTTTTCCATTTTTCCGTGACCTAGGCGAATCCCTTGGAATCAATATCTCCATCTGCCACGCTTCAACAATTTTTCCTCTCTTTTATCACTTTTTTTTAATAACCCTCGCCCTGGGTTCCGTAACGCAATTTGAAACCTTTTTTTTAAACTCTCTGATAAAAGAGTTTAAAAAAAAATGACAAAAACAATTTGAAATGCCATTGTAGAAATATTTCAGGCTGACAAGATAAAGTTGAAACTTCCGAAATAGAAAATCCAGGCAAGCGTGTGACTGAAATTTCACGAAATTCTTAACATTGTCGTGTGTGTAGATAATAATGATAAAAATAATGATTCTCATCTTTTAATGAATGAAATTTATTAAAATGTTTCAGGACTTCCCAATGAGCGGAGGGCCTGAGGGTGGTCCTATGGGTCCCATGGGGCCAAACACAATGGGTCCAGTATTAAATGGCGATGGCTTAGATGGAATGAAGAATAGTCCAGCGAATGGTGGACCTGGAACACCTCGTGAAGACAGTGGCAGTGGAATGGGAGATTACAATCTGGGAGGTTTCGGTGGTCCCGGTGAAAACGTGAGTATTGACAGCTTCTTTAGACTCACCGATGACTTCTCTTCAATCCATTAAAACCATTAAAAACAATTTTTTTTTTTGCAATCACAATCCACGTCTTACGTATCGCGTTGCTATTAATATATTTATGTGGTTAATGTCTAATATGCATGCCCCTGATTAATTATTGGGTTCAAATAGTAACAGCTTCTGTCAGGATGTTTTCTCACGCTGTGAGGTGATTCAGTCATTCACCAAATATTTTTTTGTTATTACTGAGGTTATCATGCCTTTTTGGCTTTTTATTTGAACAATCAGTCGAAGATCCGGTATTGTGGAGGAAAAATAATCATTGGACAGTAATGAGAGCTTCTGAATTTATCATTAATTATTACAATTTTTTAATAACTGATTTCATGGAGTAATGAATATGTATGTGTAATCGTTTAGAAACACGAAACTACTGCAATCTCGTGATTTGGTGGATAAATTTCACAACTAGAAAAAGATTTTCATATGTTCAATTAGGATTCAACAAATCCTTTGAAATTTTCAGTTGAAAATTATCAATGCTATAATGACAATTAAACCAATTGTATTTCTCATAAATCCTTTGAATATTTCCTCCTCACAAAGCTAGATCAATAGGCGACGAATAATTCCAACTGAACTACCTCTGTTCCTCATAACAAAATTGATGCTATCATTTCAATAGTGAAGTGATAAAAAGTCGAGATTAATGAGATTTCGAGGGATATCCATGTATCTAAGAGAGACAGCGAAATTTTCATTAAGACTTCATTTGTACAGTGCAATTAGATCAATAAAATCGGTAATAGGCCGAATTTCGCTATCTTTATTAGATTGAGAGATATTTCTCTTGGGTCAATCGACTTGTTACCACTTGGCAGAAGATTTACTCTCCATGAATTAATTCCCTCGGGCTGATGGGACATACCTCAGTTTAACCGCATACGTGCACGTTCTTGTATTCTCGACAGTTTTTTTAAATCTCGATATCACCTTGGACCCAGCTACGAGCTCATAAGACACCCTGTACAACTCCCCGGGTAACAGACAGATGGAAGGATCTCGACCCGTTTAAAACTAGAGTAATTAACCTAAGCAAGTTTACGATAATGTGAACGTTGCAGAGATAATTATTTAAACGATCGATCTATCAATATTAGATTCACTATCAGTGTCGTTTTAACGATAACACAAGGAATAATGTGGGAATGTCAAGTCACACGTTCGTCAATTCTGTTGTCAATTCTCCCACTATTTTTTAAATAATTTTTGTTCATAGATTGTTAAGTAAGATCTGATTATTGATACTTATGCCACTACTGCCATACAGACTATGTATATGCTTCGCTAGTACTCTCAAAGTTGCATTTTTTTTTTTCAACTTCTTCGAAGTCAGGAATAGGCTCTCTCGTATTTCTAGTTAGGGATTATGTTATCTCAGACTATTTATATTTATTTTATTTTTTTTATCTTTTGAAAGGAGAAAATTCTCAGCTATCGAGGATGTCGTAAGGATTCCCTGGGATCATGAGAAACGGCTTTTCTCTGGTGGAAAACTGTTTTTAGAGTTAGTATTGAGGAGGGGAGTTAATTAATACGGAAATTTGGAATGGGGAATTCTTATGACGTCCTCAAGCAAACGGTGCCTGATGTAATGTAGGCTGTTTACTCAATATCCGCTCTGTGATTTGGGCTTAATTGCTTGATTAATATTTTTTACTAATGATACTTCTGGAAGTTTCTTAGTTATCGATAGGTGATTTATTCTCCACTTTGCTAATGCATTGGATATTTTTCGTGAAATAGTACAGTCGAATCTGTTGTAAGTTGTATTTTATCTGATGAATCAGAAATTAATCCCTAGATTTTACCTCTGACATGAATTCATCGTCAATATTAATTTTTTTTTTAGTTTTATTGACGTATAACTTATCGCAGATTTCTAATGATTTTTATATTAATGAAAAAAGGAAGACATAAGACGAAAATTATCCGCTTATGAAATTCTAGTCCCTTCATTCATCAATTTTTTCTTTTAAATGAAATAATTCCGTTATCATTCACTCTTGCTCACTAAATCGGAATAGACTTCCCATTGTATCAACGAATAAATCATTGAAGGTTTGAATTCTCTTGCCGCTTGATTGCTCAATTTACAAAAATGCCTGATATTTTTTTAATTTGTAAATAGAAATGTGGGAAAGTACAATTAACGACTCAATTCGTAATTATGAAAATTTCGTGCTGTGCATTCAGTAGAAAGGTCGAAGCGTAATAATCATTGCAATTTTAAATACATTCGTTAAACTCTCGTTTCAATCGAAGGGATTATCCATTAATTGTACATAGATTATATATTTTTTTTCTGATGGGATAACCAGCATGAGTGATGCTTATAACAGTGTATTTTATTTTTCATACGTGTTTTCATTTGAATAATTATATGAATTAACAATGGTGCAGCATGATTAACCCAGTGATTTTTGTTTGAGATACTAACGAAGAGTAGGAGTGGCCAGATTAATACTTAATACGTCAATAAGTCATCGAATGTACATAAAATATGGAGGAAAAATAATACTCAAAGCTTCCAGGCTTGATTCCATGGGTGATCGTTGCTGAATGAAAAAACAAGCGACAAAATTTTTGCTCACATTTTTCAATCTAACATAGCAATCACTTTTTTCCATATTCAACGGTATTGCCACAGCGTTCAATTGATTGATTGTCAATAACTCGATGATGATTGAATCAGAATTAATGAAAATAATATGGAGATATTAATATTTTTGTATGCATTTAAAACATAGGCAGTGTGAGTACTGACCGTTAAGTGAATGAATGGAATTGGCTGATTTTAACATTTATGATGATCAATGAATGACAAAAATTCATTTGACAAGTCATGAGAAAGATATTGATTAGAGATACTATGGAAATCCATCCGTCCGCAGGTGGTTATAGGTCAGTACCAGACTATGCTGTGCTGCTATTAGTTGATTAACGTTTCGTTAATTGAACGATTCAAACTACGTTATGATAATTCATGTAAAATACTCGAGGAGAACGGAATTTTGGGTCGACAATCAACGATTTTTCATTTTCGTTTGATCACCATTTTATGGTTGATTTTTAGGGTTTGAGAGACTGAATCCGTGTACATATTTGTTTTAACAATGGTTTATTGCTCGATACCTGTCGATTCAAAAATTCGTCCTGCAGTTTTTTTTTTTTTTTGTAATGAGATTCGTTCTGAGACTTAATATACTCGACGTCGAAGGTACGCTTACGTTTTAAGATACGGTTGCCACGTTTTAATGAGAATTATCTCGTTCTGAGAGCAGTTTAACGCGTTTTTTTTTATTATTTATTTTGTTTGTGGATTTACTTTCTGCTTTGAGGATATTCAAGCATTTGGCGAGTTATTTTTTTTTCGTTTAGATTCTGTACATTTGTAGTTCAATACCATTAAACTAAGTTTGCTGGTTATTTTGCAAATATTTTATTTGCTACTTTTTTTACACGGTTTTTCATTTTATTCATCGTTTTTAGTCTCAAGGAAATATTTCACAATCTCGAAAGAAATTGGCCAACTTGGCAATGCCAATTTTTTAAATAATTTTCACATCAATTTTCCCACTTCAGCTTTTAGTGTAGTAACAAGTTTTTAATGTTAAAAAAATGTTTTTGGGAATGATAATAATCTTTGCGAAATGCTGTTGGATAACGCTGAGCATCTGTACATTTTTTCAATTGTCCAAGGCAATTTAATTGAGAAAATTGCTGATTGAAAATAGGAAAAGTTGCTTGAATATCCTGAAAGTGACATGCGGATGCTCCTTCGAGGGCAGTGAGCTTTTTTTAAATAAATTCTTGAAGTGTAAACGCACCTTGATACTATTTTTTCAAGAATTATTTCAAGAGTTACGTAAGATTGAATTCAACTATTGAAGGATGGGAATATTTTAATTGATAGAAATATAGGTCTGAGCCAGGAAGATCGAGACAATAATGTAATCATGTTAAACTGACATAATTGCGTTTCGATATATTTTTTTTTTTAATTTTGTTAATTGAACCCGCAGGGTGCTGGCTACCGGATAATTATAAATATCTCGTAGTTATTTTCCGGGTTTTTTTTTTCTTTTAGTCCTAAGGACGTGTGTTTCGAGGGAATTCTAATGGAGTGATCAGTTTGAAAATTCTTCTGTCATTGATATCTTATCGATTATCGAGTGCTTGAGACACACATTCTGTATCACGACGTCGAATATAATTTTAAATGAAGGAAAAATCAGTGAAGTGGTATTTGAAGATGAAATTTTAATGGTAAAACAATGCGAATTGATTGATTTTATTTCGAAATAAAATAATGATGAATAAATAAATCTGGTGGCTGTATATAGTACTAGGCTGTACTGACCTGTAGCACATGGATGCGTGAGCCGGATTGCGATTGTGGATTGCCAATTTGCCATAAATTAAAAACATCAAATTAGAAAGCAATAATCTTAAAATTATAAAAATTAGACAAATGATGGAATCACAGTTCAAATTTTTTGCTTTTTCTTTTTTATTACTTTTTTATTCTTCATTTTCAATCGATGGAGGTGTGCGTGCGTGGGGGGCAGGCCGCCATTTTGGGCACAAATTACCGTTTTTTTAAATATTAATTATTCATTCACTTGTGTTACATTTAACGTCCATGTGTTGTGGGTCAGAGCACCCTGATGAAAGCATTTTTTTTTATCACCAAAAAATCCTAAACTATCCTCTCAATCGCTAAAATCCTCTTATTGATTATTTATTTATTTATTGATTTTTTTTTTTGACTTCTCTCTCGGAGCCCAAACCCGACGCACCATCACCGCACGTTTATTGAAGCAACATTTTGGGAAGAGGACAAGAGGATCGCATTATGAGTATTTGTATAATTACAATAGAAATTTATTGAAATTTCAGTTTCAAAAGTTGTCGCAATTTCGCGTCGAACATTCGAGAAAATTTGGTTTTTCCAGTTACACGATCATTTATTTTCCGACAAAGGTTTTTATTTCCAGATTGATCCTGAGAATTGCAATCAAGTGTAATTCGATTTTTAATCGATTGAAAATTCAGAGAAGTTCATTATCAATTGTCTCAAATATTAACTGTCTAATCGGGTGATAAGCAGTAGCTCAATTCCCCTCGAGAAAATTCCGAATAAAATCAACAAAATAACTATTTCGAGGAATAAAAATGAATTTCTGGGAAACCGTGAAAAAATGTTTCATTTTATCATTATTCAATGACTCTGCAATTTTTATAGTCGTATGTTTATATTTCTACAATTTCGGTGAAGTTTTGTAAATTTTTGCAAAAGTTTACCGAGAACATATGACAGTACCCCATGAGACATTAAATAATAATAAAACTTGAAAGCTATATTTTTTCACGTGAATTTCGTCAATCCTTTCGCAGAAATTTGTGAAGAAAGACTTGAAAAAGGAAAGGATATCAACAATAAATGCTTAATTTTATAATTTTTTCGAGGGAAATGCAAAATCCTCTTGTCCACTTAACCCTGTAAATTATCAAAAGATGGTGATCATCACTGGAAATGAATAGTTTCCTGGGTGTTTTTGTGTTGCTGTTGGATTTTGTGGTGTAACCGGCCTGCTATTGGTTGGTTCGCAGGATCAGAACGAGTCAGCAGCCATTCTCAAGATAAAGGAGAGCATGCAGGAGGAGGCCAAGAGGTTTGAAAAGGATTCAGACCAACCAGATTATTTCATGCAATAATTATCTCCAACTAATTGGACATAACGAACCGAGTGCATATAATCGTTTCTCCCGCATCTCCCATCACTTCAGAATCACCAGAAGTTCGAAATTTTCTCATTGAACCGATGAATCTCTTCCCATCATCCGACATCAACCGGTTATTCTCAAATTCATAGATCGCACAAGTGCATTCGGTGTTGAGAAAAAATCGAGCTTCACGATTCTGGAGGGAAAAAAAAAAGGACAATTCGTATTAATTTTCTCTCACGAAATATCCAAAGTCGGGAGAATACAATTGAAAAAAAAAAGCAATTCTCGGTTCGTCGAATAAAATCATCTCGAATCATGAAGAAAAGATTATGAAAAACCAAAACGAGTGATTTGTTGGTTTTAAAGTGTTACGAAGACGCTGGAGAATTACGTTGCGAGCAGATATTTCTCCGAGGAGAATAATTATTCTGCTTTAATGAGCGTAATTCATTTCCCGGACGCCCTGAGAGCTATCCAAAAGGCAGAAAAGTATATAATTTAAATAAAAATTAGGCCAGTCGTGTCGTATCGTCGTTGACTCAATAATTCGTTGAATAAATTCATTGAATAGAATAAATTGAAATAATTGTCAACCGACGAGAGACAGAGGATGAGAAGTAATTAAGCACAATATTCGCGTTGAAATCATTGAATGTGTCTGGGATTTCGGGCGGAGCGGATTAAAAATTGATGATTCGATGAGTTTTTATATTCTTATCCAATGAATAATGATGAATGACCCAGCCGGTTCTAGATCGATAACTGCATGCTCTTGATCAATTTCCGGCTAACAATCGATGAATCCCAATGGGTCATTCCGTCCACTCGGCCAACCGCTGCTACTGGACCCAATCGCGCGAATCAATCAATTTTTACGTGAAAACCATCGAGCTAAATCCGAAGGCGAACAATCGCGCGAAATTATTTTAACGCATTCTCTGGATTCACGCATAATTATCGGACATAATTGTAGGTATTCTGTATGACTATAGCAAACAGTAGCTTAAAGATATAATTATAACGATAATGAAATGAAATAAATGTCATCTATCCTACCAATTGATCGAGATTTTTCATTAATACATTTTGCATCCTGATCTGATGTTTAAACTGTCGAATAGCGGAAATAAAATTGTGTAAATGATCATTTACTTATCGCAAATTACGCGATAACAATTTCATCCCAAAAATAATTTGTTTCATTGCTATTATTATTCAATTGAATAATTTAATCGAAGTGTCAAACTTTTGGGGGACTTTTCACTTCGATTTTTGCCTGATGTGTTTAAAGCGGGCAATTTCCCTTTTTATAAAATATTCTCAATCAGTGATGGGCACTCCTACGTCTATTTGGATTTTAAGTCCCAACAAAAGTCTTCATTTAAATTAAATTTGCTCAATAATTTTTTTATCTCATTCTCTGTAACTTATAACAATTAAATCTCGGAATAATAGATCACATTTTTTTTTAATTATTGCTTGAGAGAATCAAAGTCCAGAAGTATTTTGTACTTGTAAATTTTCCAAGTACTAAGTATTATTTAAATTGAGACTTTGTAAAAGCAAAGCCTATAAATCCCTCGAGTAGTTGACACGAAAATGTTTAAGTACTAAGTTCAATAGTACTTTGTACTTAGGCGTAGGATATTTTATGAGTTTTTCAAAGACTAATAGACGTAGGATTTTCGAAAATCGAATTTACCCATCACTGCTCTCAATATCTCATACTTCCAGAATATGAGAAAAAAAATGTTCTTTTTTAACAATTCCAAAGGGATCGCCCCCTTAATCAATTTCACTCGATAAATAAAGTAAATTTATGCTTGGGATGAAATTATCGTGAGGTCAATCAGGGATATGACACTCATTAAAATCCATCAAATCGATTCCACAAGGAGCCACAGGGAGTTGTAACATTTTTTCGCTTGCATCTAAAGTATTTTCTACTCCTTTAAAAATTTACAGTGTAAAAAAAATCTTATGGACACGATAAATTGGAGGTAAGTACCCTTGTGAAAAGTCAACAATTACCTCAAGGGCAATGAAACGAATGAAGAAACACAATTATCACATTTAACATAACACCAGTGTATATTGCGTCGCAGTTGGGTTACATAATATTACAATGGTGCATAATAAAATTCTATACATATTTTCTTCTGATCTATCTAAAAAAAGGGTAAATCATAAACTTCATCCTCTCTATTTATTATCTCCAAATATTCGTGAACTATTTTTTTTCCATCACCCTGGTTCTCTCCAAGCCGAAGCGCGCAGGGTCTCTGCAGATTTTAGATCCCAGGAAGAAAGTTACAAGAGAAAAAAAAAAAAGAAAAATAAAATAAAAGATTTCGCTTCGGATTGGCAAAGAATGATTAGTTTGCATTTGATTGAAGCCATTCATATTTTCCAATCTCCCATTCACCAAAATGATCTCCATCTTATCCAAATATATGACAAAAATAAATGAAAATCAATCCTAAAAAGCATAAATCAACTTCTTAACTCTTACATAACGGTAATCATAGTATTATTCCTCTTTTCCTCCTGTAATAATAATTCATATAAACATTAATTCTATTCGTTCTCGTTTTATTATTTCTGTTAAATCTATTTCATATCTTTAGATCATTAGAAGGTATTGGAGTTGTTTGTTGATGACTTGGACATTAAATTGGAGGATAATCATTCATAAAACTGAACATCCGAGAGTTTTCTCTTGCTGTCATTCAATAATCCCTTGATATCCATCAATATAATATATACATGATGTATATAAGCCATCGTATCATCAAATTCACGTGCAATTTCTCTCTCTCTCGATGCTTTTGTTTTGGTATTTCGTCTTTATGACATATAATTTGTCGTTTCCTTTACAAAAAATTGTTTTTGATTATTTGGGATAGTACGTGATACATTAGATTTACTCGAACACACTAAAGTTTCATCATTTATAGATTCTTTCTTCATATGAATCTATAGTTCCTACGGGTTTACTCGTTTCAGGCCCATAACGTATTATTACACGTTAGTCCATTCATTAATTCAATTTTATTATCAATTTGATCGTGTGTTGCGAGAGCTACAACTTAGATAATCATATGTACCATTTTTTAATCTTACTTCGGGTTTAATAGTTTTTATTATACATAATTGCCATGTCGTATGGCCCTGGGTGGCTCGAAACTATTTATTTCATGTATAGAGTCACCTGGGGGCCATAAAACCGGCATCTCCCTGTCCCATTATTTTTTTTATTCCTTTATTTTATACTCTTACACAAATACATGGCCTTACACAATCTCTAGGTCAATTAGAGCTAAATTTTGTTTCCTCTTTATATCTAAAAATAATAAATTTTGGGCGAAGATTACAAAACGATGATTATTTCCAAATTTTATAAAACATAAACTTCTTTTCATCATAGAAAGTTAACAAAATTTGAGAAAACGTCTCTGAGACATTATTTTCACTTCGATACGCTTCTGCTTTGTGGGATATTTCTTATCGAAGCTAACACCATATTGCACTTGACACAATGGCTACAAACTTAAAGAGACGTACGAAATTAGTATTTTTTCCCCCTTCTTCCTTATATACTCACCTTGATTTTCTTAATCTTGTTTACAATGTTCACAGATCAGTAAATACTCTATTTTTGCATTATCTACACATGTTTTAATGGAGCACGTACTCCCAATATGTATAAAACTATTCAAACTAAGTAAGAAGAGAAAGAGTTGAACGAAACAGAATTCCTCTGACTTATACAGAGGCTTTCTTAAGATCTTTCTTCAACAGAAGCTAATGATTAATAAACAAATGTAATCTCGTTACAGTTACATTCTAAACGCATATCAGAAAATTGATTAAATCTTCTTTGTTTGTTTAAATTCAATCAATGTAAATTCTACATCCGTAATTATTGTTATTTATAGGTTTCCAGTTTTTCACCGTCGCACTATTATAAATTCTCTCTTCTTCTTTTACGTTTTTTTCAGTCCCATATCAGTCAAGTTTACATACAAGTGCACAATTATCTCACAGAGGATGGATAATTAGGATTTTCCCTGGAACTTTCTCAATTGAAAAATACGAAAGACATATTTTTTTTCGATTTGTAAAAATCATAAAAAAACGAAAGAATGATAATCAACAAAAGAAAAACTGCATGTGGTATCGCAGATCTTAAAACTCCACTACAACTTCTTCATCCCTCATTTTGTCAAATAAAAATTTACCTATTCACCATTCTCCATTCAACTCTCATATTCGACAATAAAAAAACCTCATGCAAGACCTCAATGGACCAAAAATTCAGGTATTCCCTAAATAATTGAGTTGCTGCACCAGATTTATCTATTGAAGAGCGGAAACTTCGAAAATTGATTGAAAAATATGAGACACGTTTGATATTTTGAGGAATGATGAAAAATAAAGGAGTCACATTAAAAGACAATTAAAATCTTCGATTTGATATAATTGATATAAAAAGAAAAAGAAAAAAAAATAAGTACCTCACATTTTCCAGAGAATTTTCCAAAAAGTTCCCCTGCGAATAGAACAAAAAGTGAATAGTCTACGGAGTTTAATAAGTTGCTCTCTAAATTGGTCCAAATATCTAGGTTCAGTAGGACGTTAGAACCCCGGGCGGTGTGGGCACGACGACAGTGTGTTGTGGTACAACTGGTGGTGCTGGTGGTGCCAGTGGATGTCCCACTAGGACAGCAGCTGCTGTTGGTAGTGGCAATACACCAGGTTGAGGTATAGCTGATGGTGTGCTAACTTGAGTTGGTGGTCCCTCAGTTGCGTGTTTTCTCAAGTGTCTCAGCATATTTCCCTTCTCAACGAATGTCTTGCCACAATCGGGACAGCTGTGTGGTCTTTCGTCCGAGTGTGAACGACGGTGGGATACTAGGTGGCCTTTGCACATGAAATCTTTTGGACAGAGATCACAGCGAAAAGGACGCTCAGCATTGCTTCCCTTGTTGTGGGAACGCATGTGGAAGAGAAGATTTCCTTTCAGTGGGAAGCTCTTGCCGCACTCTGTGCAGACGAATGGACGCTCACCCGTGTGACAGCGCATGTGATTCACCAGGTGTTCCTTTAACAACATAATCCTCAGTTTTATTCATCAAGTCTATCAAGTTAAAGCAAGTGGACAATTGCACTTTCAGTCAACGAAAGCCAAGTTCCTTTTAAAGTAATTAAAGTAATTAGTCTCGAAAAATTTGTCATACGCACACACAGGCACGCCCTACGGGCACGATTTAAAAATGGTAATTTTGGACTTCTTGAATTATATCGGGTTGATATAACATAAAAAAATAAATTTCAATTTGATGGATCACCATTCAGAAACAAAAGGCACCTCTTGCCTTTTTCTAAAACTCCATTTTTCTCATCAATATAAGAAAATTAACGGAACGCGTGAACATAATTATTCTCCTGAGTGCAATAGCAGTCGAGGGCATGGACCTGTATCCTGCCTGTCATCCTGACACTAATAAAAAATATAATTTTTTCGCTTTTATCGTAACGGAGTGTTTGAAGAGGTTGACAAATCCTTTACCTTTCTCGTAAACGGCTTGGAGCATACATTGCAACAGTGCGATGAGTCCCCAGTGTGCTGTCTCAGATGATTATTGAGATGCTCTTTCCTCGTGAATGTCCTCTGGCAGAATTCACATCTGTGCGGTGATTCCCCTGTGTGAATTCGTACATGATTCGTCAAGTGCTCCTTACGCGTAAATGACTTGGAGCAGAAGTGGCATCGGTGTGGCGATTCGCCTGTGTGTTGACGCACGTGATTTGTCAAATGTTCCTTCCGCGTGAAAGATTTAGTGCAATACTGGCACTTGTGCGGTGACTCACCCGTGTGCTGCCTGACGTGGTTCACCAGGTGGTCCTTCCGCGTAAAAGCTTTCGGACAGTACTGGCAACGGAAAGGCGTCTCACCTGTGTAATTTTTACAAGTTCTTTATATCTCTCTTTTTTTTTCTTTTTCTCTCAAGCTAAATTTTGATCTCTCTTTCGAATTTCAATGAGTTTACTTTGAATTTTGCTTTGAGTTTGACCTTTGATTTTAATTTGTCTCAGCGTCATTCAGACATGGTGGTTATCCTGCACAAGGCGAGTTTTGCCGAACGACACGCACGGATATTTTTTTTTATTATTATTCATTCTCTGGTTTTTTTTTATTATCTCTCAGTGTCAGGCGTTACACTGTTTAGATCATTGGCTGACAGTTCACGTACACTTGAAATTTTTTGGATTTTATCGTTTATTTCACTGGAACTTCAAGGAATTTTGTTATCGAAAATTCAAAATTTTGGGAGAAATCAGTGGAGATTTTTACATATCAGCGATAGTTGTAGTTCAATTCAACAGGTAATTAGTAGACGTAAGTAGTTCATTTGGCTGATAAGTATTTAAGAATATCGCGGAATCTCGGGGAGGTAGCGAAATTTAATTGAAAACTTTTTTGTAGCTCTTATTCCACTCTACAAAAGAGCTTCTGTTGAAAATTTTTGTATCTCCCTCAGATTTAAAAATATTCGCGGAATCAATACAAATTGGGAAAATTCAGTAATAATAGTATTTTTAAATTTTCGTGCAATTGAAAATTTAAGCAATTTCTTTAATTTTCTAGCTGTCCAGAAATTTTGTTCCGTTGAATTTGCAGTGAACTTTGTCTCCTGACACTTTCCTAAAAATTACTAGATACTAACAGCGAAATAGATTTGTTTTCGAGCAGTGCACCTCCAGTAGAGGATAATAATCATTAAGACAAATTTTAAGATGTTTTTCACATGATCAGCTGATTTCAATGATTCCAAGAATATCATAAATTTGGAATCAAATATTTGAGGCGCGATGAAGTTCTGAAGTAACGTCAGCTGTCATTGATTTTAATGATTTAATTTATGCAATGTTTCAATCAATGATTCTTTATCAATATTGCAATCAATATTGATTTTAATGACTTAAAGATGACGTCGAAGAATCGACATCACTCGTTCTCAGTGATTTAATGTGATCCCAGATTAATTTCAGGATTGAGTAGCTCTTAATTATATCGATAATGGAGGATAATGGTGTGACGTGTAGATTTGTCGCCTGGGACTCTAATTCCTCGTTGGTATATAGTGATCCACTGCACAGCAAAACCATTTCGCTTAGTGTCTGAAAATATCCGTGCGTTGCCCTTCGAGGAAAGTTCTCTTGCGCAATTTACGTGGTCGAGCCGCACACTGACCCACTCTTACCATCACGAACATCATTAACTTCTCAAAAATGAACTGCCTCCATTGACTATTTCAAAAAATTCCGAAATATTGATGGAAATGTCTCCTACAAAAATCAATTTGCAAGCGCAAACATCTTTTTCTGTTTGAAAATGTCTGAAAAATCTCCAAAACATTTAAGTAATTTCTAAAACTGCATGACAATTTGTGCTGTAGACATTTTAAACCAGTAGAAATGGGTCAGGTGTTCATTCACATCGCGAGATAATGTATTAGACTATTGTAGCAAAAAGTGTTCTATAATGTTTAAAACTAAGCGTTATGAGAGCGGTGTATTAGGCAGAGTGAATGTCTCATCGAGTCTTCCAAGTGAAGAGAGGATGAGTGGTGATTGTGTGGTGGCGAGGACTCTCAATGATGTTAAACGACACGGAAAATTTACCAGGACAACCTCCAATGGAAGAGAATGACATGAAGTAAATGGAAAGAAAATATTCCTCCGTGAATTCTGCAACGAAATAGTCCACACCAGATTAAGTCATTCTATTAAAGACCACATGTACTGTCGAACGTTATCTTTGGTTTGAATTTTATCTTATTAGTATAAAATCTGTCAATATTAAACCATTCCCATGATTATAAAAAAAATCTCCTTTTAAAAAATTCAGCAAGACATTCTTTGAAATCTGTTTTTGCCTTTTCTAGCGATACATGAATATATAACTTAAATTTAATATAATAAGATATATATTCAGAATTATTTGACGTTTAAAAATACTAAAGACGTATTTTTTTTAATTCATGGCATTAAAAATATAAAAATTTGAAATGAAAATTTCCGAAAATTTTGATTTAATATAATGATAGGAATAATGAAAAATATGTAGTTTATCATCCACCATGATGGGTGGAAAAAGAATATATTTGACAGCCAATAAGAATATAGAATGAAAATTGACTGTCAAATGTGATTGATGGTAAACTGCGTATTTTTTATTATTTTCCTGCAAACTTGGAGGATACTTTGGAGTCTATATCCCAATATGTCTCCCTTCAACAATTTTTCCTCATTTTTTTATAACTATTGGAGTGTGTTTCGCAAGACAATTTGAAGGCCACATTCAGGTATATTATAGACTAACAAGATAAAATTAAAATCAAAGATTACGTTCGATAGATAACACGCGCGTTTGAATGAATTTTTCACATCAAAGAATTCTCAAGTAATGCTTAAATAAGTTTGTTGTAATTGAATAATTTTTTTAATGCCGAGATCTCATTAGACATTGAAATGTCTCAAGAATCTTCGAAAGCATTTTTTTCTCAGTATAACTGAATTGAAAAATATTTTGAAAATGTTTTTGAAAAAGTAAAACTATTTACACGAGAATTACTACAAAATGAGAGAGAATTCCACGACTTGTCTTTCGTCTATGTGAAAAATTCTTAATTACTTCATGGGACTTGGTCTGGTTGACTTTCGTACAGAATTAAATTTTGTACGAAAAAAAAAAATGAATGAATGATGACGGTCTGTCCCTGGAGATTTAAGTAAACGAGTTAGGAAAATGATTTCGGTGTCTTTTTCATTCGACTTGATCGGATGTGATGCAAATGGGAATGACGAATAAGAAAAAAACCACCAATAAAATTCGATCTCTTTAAATTGGACAAACAATGGGTAATTGATTGCCCCAGTGAAGTGAACATCTGCCAACCGCTCTCACCTGTGTGTTGGCGGATGTGGTTAACAAGGTGTTCCTTTCTGGTGAACGATTTGGAGCAGAAGCCGCATCGGTGTGGAGACTCACCCGTGTGCTGGCGTACGTGATTCAGAAGATGCTCCTTTCGTGTAAATGTCTTGGAGCAGAAGTCACAACGGTGCGGTGTCTCACCAGTATGCCACATTATGTGGTTCGTGAAGTGCTCCTTCCTCGTAAACGACTTACCTGTATTGCGTTCGTGAAAACAGAAATAAAGCAATTGTTTTTCATAGTTCACACACATCACTCTCATCACATTTTTACATTTTTACAATTACATTCAATGATTAAATCATCAGTAATCAAACCAATTCAATTGGAAATCCTTTACAACCCCCGATCATGAGCAAATTCCACTTTCCAAAGTCGCAAAACCTTAGGAGTGTTCTGTCCTCTTTTACCCAAAATTACCGTTTTTTTTTTCGAGTTTTATGACAAAACGCACCATATCATTATTGATTAGTGTTTGCGGTGATTAATATTCTTGTGATTATTTATAATATTATGTCGTGGAATTTTCTTGTTGGTAATACTTTGACGCATAATATTTAGATGTGTAATATCTGGAAATTGTCATAAGATAGCGATATTTTGGTAAATATATTTTCTGTAGAGAAATTTAAGATCTACGAAAAAGATATCTATGAAAATATCATTATTTCTCTCCAATTTTACGATATTCGCTAAAAACTGTATAATGAAAAAAAAATAGCACTTATCCAAATTTACCACTGCGTACCAGAATAACGTATTAATTAAAAACCATTATCATAAAACCCATAGCTTATTCAGAAATGAATAATTGCGGTCAAGTTCGTCATTGAATTTCTCCGTTTAATCATCGAATGTAACGAAAAATCCTTAATTACCAATTAATAAGTTTGATATGAATAGAGCTAAAGTCTTAATTCAACGTTTGTACATATTGAGGTCAAATTGCAAATAGAAATCGATAATCGCGGAGCGCATATGTATTCATCACGGTTAACCCGTGATTACGGCATTTACAGGAAAAATAGGGAGAGGGGTGGAAGCATATTCGCGCCCGCAGACGATTGTATTAAAAATCGATACGAAACAATCAAACAAACGCCCGCATGGTGCGTTCGAGTGGCAAAAAACGTAAAATAAAAAAAAAAATGAGGGAATGCACTAAATTTTGGAATTCATTAAATTCTTCAAATACATTTGGGGTTTAGAACCCCAAAAAAATTGAAATATCAATACTAACCACTGATATTTACAAAATAGCAAGTCATGCCATCACAATTATAAGTTAAACGTGAAATTTGAATTACTCGACTTCAAGTCAATGATTGGATTGAAAGCAACCGATTCAGAACATTTTGATATTATTTATTGTTTTGATTGATTAAGTATTGAATATTAATGGCTCTCATCACGATCCGAGGAGTGTTAGACATAATTATTATGGTGAAAGTAATTTTGAATTTTCGGTCATCAGGATGAGAATGTATAAATGCAATTGAATCCGGGAATTAGGCAAACGGCAATACACGGTGGTCGGACAAAGGCAACTTCTGATTTCTAAGGTTATATCGTAAAAGAGGGGAGCTCTACAGTGGAATGCGCACGACCCGGGAACATGAAACCTGCGGGCAACTGGGTGTTCCGATGCGCGATCAATTCTCATGAAAAATTTTATTTCAAAATCCACTGCGAACCTCAGTGATGGGAAAATTTTATTTTTTCAAGTCCCAAGTCCTTAATTCTTGGTAAACTACTGCCCTATCCGATTCCTGAGTTCAAAGACTGGGAATCGGACTGGGTACTTCCAAATTTCCGTGTTCCAAGTTCTGGGAAGATTTACAGAGTTTGGTTTTTCTAAATCTAAATTTAAATAGTACTTGAAAAACTCGGTACTAAATAATTAATTAATTAATTACTAGTAATTCCAATGAATAAGATTTGAAAATTATTGGGCAAATATTATTAAAAATTGATTGGAAAATTCTAAATATAAGATATATTTAAAATACCCACAAGATCAAAGACCGATTACAAATCCGAACGTTTAATATTGCGTAATTTCCAAATCTTAAGCATAAACGGACTTAAAACCTGCAAATTTTTGAGATGTAAGTTCTTCTGGAATTAAGACGTAGAAAAAATAAAGCCCCAAGTCACGTGGAAATCAAGACCTGACAAGAAATTTCAAGTTCTACATTTTAAGACTTGCCATTTATTTCTAAGGTAAGACCTCAACAGGAACTGAATACTTTGATTGGGCCTTAAACTCAAAATAGACTTTGGAGTAACCAACGCTGACAAACCCGATAACTTATTCCCACCATTTGGGTCCGTTTATGCTGGGTTTAATGAAGCACCAGACTAACAAAGGAATAACCCGAATTGATATTAGAATAAAGTACAGATTAATTCCATCATGAAGGCATGTATTATCCATCCAACGTAAACTTTGGTTTGAATTTCGTCTTGTTAGTCTAAAATATTTCTAAATTTTGGTTTCGAATTGTGTTGTGGAAACCACTCCAATGGTTATAAAATAATAATGACAAGAAAAGAGGAAAAATTATTCAAGGGTGACAGATGGAGATATTGATTTCAAGGAATCTATCGATTTTACTGGAAAATTATTAAGAATACCCAGTTTAGCAGCCATCATTACGGAGGAAAAGGATACTTTTGATAGTTGATAAGAATATAGAATTAAAATGGGCTGTCGAATATTCTTAATGGTAAGCTGTGTATTTTTAATTTTTTTCTAAAACTATCAGATTCTTTGCAATCACCATTTCGATTTTCCATTTTTCAAAATTTATCCTCTTTTTCTCATTATTTTTTTATAACCATGGGCGTGGTTTCCGCAAGCAATTAAAAACTCAAATTTATAAATATTTTACAGTAGTAGTATAAAATTCAAATCAAAGATTACATTCGGTACAGAGTCCATGCGAGCCTTAATTAATAGTCCAGATAAGAAAAGAAATATCAATAGGAGGCAAAACTGACACTATATTTTTTTTTTGAGTGATGAATTCTTTTTTTTTCGTAAGACTGAATTTCTTTCTTCCTATAATGAATTCAATTAAAAGTCTGTAATTAAGAGGCAACAGGTAGATTTGAATATTATAAAAAAAATTCATTCGTTGCACAAATCATATTCAATTGTAGTATTGAAGTAAATGTAATTGTGATTTTGAAGTACTCACCACAAATTTCACAGCGGAATGGCGTATCGTTAGTGTGTGAACGCATGTGATTAGCCAAGTGCTCCTTCCTTGTGTATTTTTTACCGCAAACTTGGCAATGATGGGGTGTCTCACCGGTATGCCACATAACGTGATTCATAAAGTGTTCTTTTCGGGTGAAACTCTTCTTACAAATGTCACAACGATGGGGTGTCTCACCCGTGTGCTTTCTCACGTGATTCACCATGTGTTCCTTGCGGGTGAATGTTTTGGCGCAGTATTGGCACCTTTTTGAACACAAAAACATCTTGATTACCTCTTGTACTTCAAGACACGCTCAAAAAATCTTAATACATTTAGTTAAAAGACAAGTTTTCGAGGAATACCGATAAAAAAGTGAAACCAGTGTTTTCAATTTAATAAGATTTAATTTTTCCGACACTAAATGAATCACAACTAACGCAAAATAAAAATATTTTCCAAGAAACTTGAAAAAGGAAAAGATATCGACAATAACTCCCTAAGGAAGAATATTAAACAGAAATTACCTGTAGGGTGTTTCTCCAGTGTGACACCGTGTATGATTATCCAAATGCTCTTTTCTAGCAAAACTCTTGCCACACACGGTGCAGTTGTACGGTTTATCAGTAGCATGACGTTTCATATGACGCTCCAATGAGGGGGCATTGGCAAATACGTGGAAACATACGGCGCACGTGAACATTGAACCTCCCAGGTGACACTTTCCATGTCTGGTCAAATCATTTGCGTTGGTAAAAGCCTTTCCACATACCTAAAACCGATTTAAATTGAATAATCAGTGACTTTCTAACCCATTGAAATCGACCGATTGTCTTGATTATCATTATTTGAAATTACCTGACAAGTGAAGGGCTTTCTCTCCGTGTGATATCGTCTGTGAACAATCAACTGATAACGAAATTGAAATATTTTTCCACAAACTTCACAAGCATGACTGCCAACTGATACTGGCGATGCACTTGGTCCTGGTGTTGCCTCACCATCACTCGTTTTAATATCGAATTTATTCAATTGCACTTGTTGAACAATTGGTGTGCCGTTCTGAATGGTAGTGACTGTTTGTGTTGGTACTGTGCCACCAACGAGGGTGGTACCAGCTGCTATTTCACTTTGGAGCTTGCCGAACACCTCGTGATAGGCCAACAGCTGATTTATGTCCTCGACATTGACCTTGACATTGGAAAAATTAAGGTTGTTCATTGAGAATCGATTTTTCCTCAAATAATCGTGAGCACTAACAAGATGCTTCATTTCTTTATTTTAAATAAAATGTTTTAATTGTTGATGAATTAAACAGGCATTTAAAGGGTGCAGTGCAGTGATGGGCACGCCTACGTTTATTTGGACTTTAAAACCCAATAAGAGTATTGATTCGTTGTTAATTTTTTCCTTCGTCAGAAATAAATCTAAAGTCTTAAAAGACTTAGTACTTGAAACTTCTTCACATTTCAAGTTCCCGAGAAATCTAGGTGTCAAGTCTTCATTTCAACAAGACTGAAGGATTTACATTTGTCATGTCTTAATCGGAGGAGAACTTAGGACTTGAGAAATTTTCAAGTTTTAATTTTTTAATTTTAGTACTTAGGATTTCGAAATTACGGAATGTCAAACTTGGGAGTAGGATAGTTAATGACTTAACCCTTCGATGACTTCTTAAGACTTGAGGATTCAAAAAAAAAATTAAATTTTATATTTACCTTGTACATATTTTGCACCATCTCGACTCCAAGGCTTTTAGCGAGATCTTGTTCATTTCCAGCACTTATTTTCACTACCGAACCATCGGCCGTTCTTACGTCCATCATGTGACCACCTGGTTTCAAATCTGGCACTTGGAACCTTCAATTGGAATTTGTCAATTGATTTTAATTTCCAACACAAGCTCTCAGGACTGTCAAAAATTTCTCAAGTGTCTACAATTGTGAAAAGAAAAAGCTTACTGTGTCATATTCAGCTGTCTCAACTCCTCCTTCTTTTCCCCTTTCTCGGAATTACTCTGGCTGGCAGTCTCAGCGCCTGAATTACCACTGACATTAACACCAATCTGCTGTGACTGCTGATTCTGTCCCTGATTCTGCATCATGCTCTGTTGTAAATCCTGTTGTTGAGTTAGCTGAAGATCACACTGTACCTGACAGTGCACCTGATTATCACTGCACCTCTCAGTGGTGCAACTGCCCCCTTCATCCTTAACTTTATTCTCCTCCCGGCCAGACTGGCCCCCACCACTACTGCTGTTCTGATGATTCTGCATCTGATGATGTGACTGCTGCTGTCCCTGCTGTCCCTGCTGACCCTGATGTAATTGCTGCTGCTGCTGCTGCTGTTGGGCGTTCATCTGTTGCATCTGTGCGTGAGCAACTTGGAGATGGCTCGATGACAAATGTGAACCGTCCAGAGTTAATCCAGGTAGTGACACTGGTATCTGCCGATTACAAATAATTTTCCACCTTCAAAACCAATTTTTATCTACTCCTCTGACTGGGGGACAATATCAAGTTACTGAATGAATTAAAGAGATAATTTGAGTTATCTAACCAGTGAATATAATTATCCTCGATATACAACAGTGTCTCACTGGTAAATTAATCATCTCTTTTCATTCACATAACGTAACGAACCAATGTTGCTAATAAATCAGTAGCAAAGTGGTAGAAGGAGAGATTTTGTAAAATATCTCCCTTAGTTTTGGATTTCTTTCCAAAGAATAACCACTTGGTTTCTGAAATTTATTGAATAAATGGTCAAATGATATTCTAAATGATATCCGAACCATCCCCATCAACAGTAAACGATGATAAATACCATGAAAAGCGAACTATCAACTGGATAAACTGTACAAAAGACACGAAGCTGTGAATGGAATGTAAATCATGCAATTTCTAACGCCCAAACAAACCTGGGGGGATTGTAAAGAGCTGTGATGACTGCTAGTGGTAACCGTTGATTGATGATGATGCGTTGAACTCGTTGTTTGATGATGTGAGTTTGAGGATAACGCCATATCCTGGGCTATTGTCGTTTCTTTGCTTGTTTGTATCTCACTACCACCAGCACCACTTCTTGGTGTTGCACTGTGGTGTGGATGATAAACGGATACCTGGGGTATCGGCCCGGGAAATAAATTCGTCAAGACCCAATATTTAGCTACTGATGACGCTAATGCTACTGCTGTACCTACACGTAGATCTGGTGACGAATGGGGCACAGTGGTCCCTACATTTCCACTCGATGAAGATGTCAAACCAACTGGATAAGAAGGACGACCACTTTGACCCGTGTTTACTTCCTATCAATTTTATATTCAAACAAATGATAATAAAAAAGGGGACAGGGGAATAATGTTGAGGATAAACCAAAGAGAAGACCAAATACGTTTTTACAACATTGACGGGGATGGCATGCAATTTTTGCCATGCAGAATCATTTATTTATCGAGAAGGCGGTGTGAGACTATACTCTATGCGACAAATGCGTTTATTTGTGGTTGTTAATGAGTTTGCTAAGTATTTGAGGATTTTATTCACTCGGTATAAAGTGGCGAAAACGTGTACAAAGAGTTCCCTAATAATATTCCATATATTTTCAAAGTGTTGTACTCTTTTTATGAATTTCATCTCCTTTTTAAGTTAGCAAGATCTTGAACAGTATTTTATAGGCTTGGGAATTTATTTTGAGAATTTTTACACTTCCATCAAAAATAATTCTTTTAAACACATCAGAATATTCCAAAAATATTGAAAAATTTAGTCGGACATTTCGCCACTTCTCTGTTGAATGAATATTGTCGAGAATTTGTAATGCTCTTAATTCGAATTTTAAACCCAAAGCGAGTCATTATTAATCCAGGTATTAACGCATTTGGAGGGTAGAGACTAGCCCAAAAATGAAAAATTCGGTATTTACCTCTTGCTGTGCCTGCGTCGTCGCTGGCAGTGCATGCTGATCACTGTTCATCTTCGTTCAATGAAACCTGCAGATGAAATCCTCTGGGCGGTCTTCATTTTTCATCCTAGAATCATTCCCTCCATCAAAACTCACAAAAAATTCTCAAAGGCATTGAAATATTTCAAAGAATCATCCCCAAAGCGACGTACCCGATCTACTTGTCGCCTCAATCAAAACTCCCTCCTCACAACCCCAAAAATTCGAAAACCCACTAATTACCCGACTGCAACCCTCACCCTTCTTTCTAAAACCCTCGGAAAAATTCCCCTCACCTTCCACCACTGCACTTTAACCTCAAAACGGTATTCAACCTGCCGTAAAAATTCTACTCCCCCAAAAACCCCATAAAAACTTCCCTCATTGTCTGAAAAACCCTAATCCCAGGAAAAGTCGAGGTTAAAAAAATGCACAAGCCGCAAAAAAAAAAACCACCTAATCAACAACTCCGACACGAGAGCGGGAAAGGGTGAGTCATCGGTTGTATGTAAAGTCCGGAATAAATCGTGAGGCCCTAAACATTTCTAAAAAGCCGCGAGCCCACCCAAATTCTCAACTCCCTGGAACAAAAAAAAATCTCAAAACTCAATGCTTCAAATGATTTAAACAATAGGGAAACACTTGGCGAACAAAGAGGGGAAAGATTTATCGATAAAGGATTGAGAATAAATTTCTCACTGCACATATGACGCGTCAATTATCAACGGCTCGTGGAACGAGGACAAGGGGCCAACAAGATGGACGGGTTCGTAGCGTACGGATCTGTCGGTTAATGTGAGTGAGTTTTATAGCGATTTAATTGTTAGCTTTGGAGGTGGAGGATTAATGGGTGAATTCGAGAGAATTAAAAAAAAATGAAGACTCACGTGGTGGATGGTGCCGTCGGGGGTTCTTGCATCTCCCGTACGTCGACGACCCGTTTTTGTTTCGACGCAAGGGGGGCACACCTCACCTTGCCTTATCCTCCTTTTACCAACGTTTTCTCTCTACGTCTCACACCTCACCACTCACCCACCAATCTTATAATAATGGCCACCACCGCACCTCCCATTCAACAAGAATCCTTTCTTCCCTTGATGGGGGTTCAACGGGATTTTTTAACGTATTTTGCTGTTTTATACGGGTATTTGGGGGGATTATTTCGGGATTAATCGGTGAGGGAACGAGTGTGGACACACCAACGGATTCAATCGAAAATATGGAACTAACTGTCATGGCCGACCCCTCTCTCCACCCGTTCCCGTTCCACTCTCATCGTACTAACTGGCGCTATTTTTTTTTCTTTTATCTACCATTTTTCGCCTCTGGATTACATGGGAGTTACGGAATTTTCGGGTTTTCCGGAGTCGAGAAGGGATTTTCCACGGATTTTTGGCGTTTTGGGCCCTTTTTGGATTTTAACCCGGTGGAAAAATACCGCGGGAGTTGGATTCCATTTGGATGGGGTGGGGACGACGCGCACGCAGCTTCCGCCGCCCGACACTGTACCACAAGCAAGCCCGCGAATTTTTTGAAAATTTTGGGGGGATGGGAGAGAAGCTACTTTCTTTTTTATAAGTACTTCGGGGCGTTAGTTATTTCCTGGTAATTGAATCTAATTAGTTTGATGTTGATAACAAATTGAATATTAAATATTCTTTCTATAATTTTCTACTCATTCGATTTGGAAATATAGAAGAATTGAGTGAAAGTTAAACTTTAGGAAAAACATGAAAATCAGATTCTCATATTCAAAACGCAATAACTCCATGAGATCTCATGGAACCCCATGACATGACAAAACTCATGCCTTTTTTAAAGCCTTACTATATAAGGGCTTTTAAAAAGAGGGATTATCACAAAAAAAAAAAAAAGCGCTGCCCATAATTTATTTGCAGACAAACTTCATGAAATAAAAATTGAAGAGGTTTGTTTCGAAAAGTGGACGGTTTTTCTATCGAATTGGTACATTTGAACGGCTCTTTCTTGAATTCTGAATGTTTTAAAAAATGATTAAGTTTATTTTGTCATTATTTAATTACTCGCGACGTACCAAGGTGATGCAAACATTTTTCAGCGTTTTTTTTTAAATATTGAGGAAGAATCACAAGACTGTAGAGGAAATACATAAAAATGATCGCACGAACATAAACCCTCGGGAGCTATTAAATAATAACATAACGCAAAAGCTTGATATTTTTTCACGTCAATGCCATCGATAATTTTCCAAAAAAATGTAAAATTATCGACTTTGCATGCTTAACTGAATAATAAATAATTTTCAAACACTTGGTTTTTCATTATAAATTTATTGTTTTCGTTCGAGTATATATATATATTATGTGAATATTTCTTTAGAATATTATCTAATATTTACAAATGTTTGTACATAGAGACTCAGTGCGAGTCGTGAAAAATAGTAACGTGTAAGAAAAATACACAAATACCAGAGCATCGCTGGATTTTCTAATAATTTTTAAAGATTATCGAAAATAGACGACTGCGATTAGATTATTGGGCGGATTCCTCACGTTTTGATATGTAGCCACTGAAAATTTTCGACAAAATTTTCGTAACACTTTGTCCCCTTTTCATTCTCCACTGCACGTTATATTGCAAATTGACTAGTGCAGTAGTTTTCGCTTAAATAATTGACACATATTATCACCTAAATTATTAGAACCTTCGACATTTGGTACACTAATGATCAGTCCCACGGCCTTGACGAAGAACACATTTACGTTAGATATCAGACATTCGAGCGAGGGGAAGAGGAGGAATTAGGATACACCAATAAAAAATTTAAAAAATCTCTCAGGGGAAAAAAAGAGATTTTTCGTTGAAAATTCAAATTTTTCCCCCTCATATCCATTAGTTTTACAGGGTGTTTCGATGAAGAAAATTGATTTCCATTTTCAATTGGAAATAAATCCCATTACAAATTTGAAACCTTAATTCCTAATGAGTACAGAGCATCTGTTGAATTAATTAAATAATTCTCATAATTATGACCTCCAGAATAAAATTCTAAACCCAATTCCCGAACATGTGGAAATTTATCTCGAGTCACTCCATCTCCGCCAAATCCCTACATCTCCTCACTACAAAATTACATAAATAAACTAAAATGCCAGAATTCGGGAGCAATCGTTGTCTCATGCATTAGCTCGTCCTCTGAGTAACATGCAGCAACAGTAAAAATAAATTATAATTCAGTAGTGATTTCATCCTGTGGCCTGAATCCAAGAATCGTAAAATCATCGATGAGGTAGTCCCTCCCTGGGGCCCAATCATTCAGGATAGTGTAATTAGTCGCTTCAATACTAGTCTGAAATTCCCACTGTGGATTAAGATCACTGCTGAGTCCATTGCACTCACTACCCCCACACGACACACTATTTTCACCCATTGAATTATTGTAATTGTGATTGAACGCCGAAATAGCGAGTTCCTGGAGTCGTGGTGATGGATTGCGCTTCTGTCCATAAACAAGAGGCGTTGTCTGACCAACTGTTGATCCTGATGGACTGAGTTTGTCATTGTAGATCATTGAGTTATTTTGCCCGAGGCTTGAGCCTATTGGACTACTGTCTTTGGTGTAGCCCAGGCTCGATGAGGCTGGACTGATGCTGGATTTGTCACTCGCTTGAAATGTCGTGAGTGGTGCGTTTGCTTGGAATGTCGTGAGATTCGTTGGGGTTGAACGTAATTCGTAGCTCTGGGGGCTGCTCTGGCCAATTGCTATCTGCTGCGGTGACTGGGGGTTCAATTGGTGCGAGGGTTGCTGCAAAAATGTCACCAATTGGGCCACCTGCAACATATTTCAGATATTGAACGGTTGGAAAGTGTCGGTTCCTATTTCTCAGACACTTTTGGACGTCCTGGCACCTAAACTGTGACTTCTCGAAGAGAGAAATTACTGTTTCAAAAATGCAATTTTTCAGTCAAGTAACGATTGATTGGAGAAATTCATGGAAAAAGGGGTTCATCAATCCAAAAAATATTTCCCCTTTATTTATGTAGAATTATAAATTTCTCTATCGTCCTCTGAATATTCTTCACAACGAAAATGCGGAAAAACGGGAACTAGAACGTGAAGAAATCATAAACAGTGCATTATGAGTGGTTCACCATGGCGCAACAATCTGGTAACGCCTCTTGAATAGAATAAACGTAATCGTGGACGATGTTTGAAGGAAAAAAAACACTCACTAATGTGTCTGACCGACTGGCACTTTGTGGTGAATGAGAAAAAAAGAGTTTGTGATAATTTTTCCCCCCTTTGTTCCGGAGCAATTACACATGCTAGTGGTCACGTCACTTTTTACAGAGAGAACAAAGGGTTTTGCATCACATTTTTAACTTGAGTCATTTCTACCTACATTCTTTTCATTTCTCAAAATTTATCTGCTTCTCCTCTTACCTCGGGTGACGTATGTTTCTTGTATCTTCTCAGGAGGCGTTCAGCCCAAGCCAAAAGCCTTTGCCAGTCATTCGGAGGTAATGCTATCTCCTCATCTTTTCTATTCACCAGAACTAGTATTCTGGCGAGGTCTCGCAACACCGGCCTGTGAATTAATCTCGAAATTATTTACACTCATGATTTCTTCAGCCCCAACTCCGCCAATAGAATTGCACCATTAGATCTCGCATGATAGGATCAATGGGATCTTCAACCAGTGATGAGCAAATCTCAATTTTTCAAGTCCTACGTTCTGAACTCCCGCAAAAAATATGAACTGGGTTATTTCTAATTTACAAGGCCAAAATACTTCTGGACTTTGGACTTTGGACTTCGAATTTTTCAAGTAATGAGTCGAAAAGAAATTAGAATCTATTATTTCAAGATTTGATTGTTATAAGTTTCAATGAGTGAGATCGAAAAATTATTGAGCAAATTTTATTCAAAATTGGTATTAAAATTCTAAATATATCTTTTTTAAACCCTCAAAATATTGAAGTACGATTACAAATCCCAAAGTTTATTCCATATTCCATAAAAAAATGGAGTCTTAAGTCCGGCTGGAAATAAGTCCTGACGAAATTAAAGTCCTAAATTCCTCCTGGACTTAAATTTTGAAAAAGTTTCAAGTTCTAAGTCAAGTAAAAAGTTATTACGAAATTAATCCTTGTATTGAGCCTTAAACAGCAAATAGACTTAACAGTGCCTTTTTCAACTAATAATTTTTAAACAATTTTGTTCTCGTAGTTACTACCTAAAAAACAGAACAACATCCTGGTGGAATAGCTCCTCGTCAAACCAACACTTTGAATTTAATTATGGTTTTAAAATTTTCTAAATTAGAGTTTACCTCATTGTTTTATTGTGCAATTGTATTAACTGACGTTCAGCTTGAAAGAATAATAAAAATTTATCAAAAATTTCAAAAACTCCTCCATTTATTTGCAATGAAACTATTGGCAAATATCCAATAATTTCCACTTTGATGGGAAAAATATTATTCTCCATTCAATTGAACTAAAGTTCTTGAAGCTAGAAAAGATTTATCATCGCAATAAGTTATACAATAAATTAAAATTTAATATTTTGTGAAGATAACAACCGAGTGAAGATTACCTGTACGCCTGTACACCAACAGCACCATCTCCATTATTACCAGCGTAATACAACTCTCTCACTTGTCTTCTCGTATCGTTCAACATCGCAAGAAATGTTGTTGCTTCGCCCCTTAATGTCCCAAGGTGCTTGAGGAATTCCCGTCTTTCAGCACTGAAAGAAATGCAATTTGGGGTGAATAAAAAATTACACATCTCACTCCCGATGGTCTAATGGTGTAATAAAATGATATAATAGCGAGGCTTACTCACTACGGAATCTAGTGACAGCATGACTCAGAGATTAAGTCAATTTCACGTGACATTTTAATGATGAGAAAAAAATTATGTATCAATAATTACATTTTGAAGTGGCGTCATGCGGTTTTGACTTAAAATCGCCGGATTATTTCATAAATTTGATAAGAGGAGTTGATTTGAATTTACATACGTATTCTCGCACTCGAGATCAGATGGGAACGAGTGAATTTGGAAACGGAGGACAGAAGCCTTTCTCCTTGGAGAAAGGATTTTCTTCGTGAAAATCCTTGACATTTTTCTCGATTAAAAAGTAAAAAATGAAAACAGGTTCTTGGAGGAATATCTGGGGGTCTCGATACACAAATATATCTACATCCACCTATTTTTTTTCTATATTTAGGTGAGAAATTAATTCCAATTTCAATTACAAATGAATCAGAGGTTTTATCTCTCAGTGTACCGCTACAGTCTTAAAAACAGAAAGCGGAAATGATTAATATCTCTGAAACTAAGAGGCATAGCGAAATTCTTGTCAAAATCTTTTTTGTACCTGTCACTCCCTCCTACAAAAAAGGTCATGTCAAAAATTTCGCAGTTTGTGTTAGATTTAAAGATATTCCTCAAAAACTCGACAATTTCAAAATTCTAGAAAGGTACCATTGATGTAGCTTATAGATAAGCATTCGGGGAATAACTTCACATCTAAGAGAGATAACGAAATAGTCATAGATACCTTTTTTGTAGCTGTTTTTTCACTCTACAAAAAAGGTCATGACGGGAATTTCGTAATTTTGGGTAGATTCAGAGATACCTCTCAAAAACTCAACCTTTTACCTATTCGCTACTGAAGTTGTGAATAAAAATTTATTACGGCGTATTCACCTGTCCTCATACTGCCGAATGAGTTTGACCGCCCTTTTCTTCCTCCTGTGCACCACAATGGCACCGCACAAAATGATGAATATGCAAACTGTTGCCCCGGAAATAATACCAACAAGAATAGCAACTTGGCTCCCCGTGAGGCCGAACATGTACCCAGTCTTGTGGCATATTCTCCCCATGTACTCGTCCCCCGTTGACCAATCGACGATGTAACCAGGTGGACATGTGTCTACGCAATTACCATCGTGCAGCAGTGCAGCACAACGAGCACACGATGCACCGCGACAACGAATGCAACCGCCCTCGGACTCGACGCATCCTGAAACACATTACATTACACATTCAGACAACAATTTCTTTCAAAGCTTATCAACCCCTATCAATAATTAAAATTCACGATTGCACAATTATATTAAAATTAAAATTGACAGCTTCATCGAGACCTGCAAACTGCACTCTCAAAAAGTCTCTGCCAGCTTTTCATTAATTTTCAAGGGAGAATTGCGGATTATTTCCCCACACGAAAATATATATATATATTTTCGTAAAACAATAATCCATCGAAATTCTCCAATAGAATAACCAAAATAAAAAATTTGTAGATAAACATTATTAACTACTATGATTATTCCTTCAAAATTTCAAAAACATAAATTACATTTTTTTGGGTTGAACTTTTCTTCCCATAATATTTTAATAATATATTATGAGTAATATTTTAATTAAAATAATATTTTAAATGAAGAAACTGAAGAAGAGAAAAATGAAGAAAATAACAAATATAAAAAACTTGAATTTCAGCGATTATACTGGATTCATTGATAAGGAAAAGTCCAAGAGTTCCCGGAAAAATTGCCCCCTTGGAGATAAACATTAATAACTCATAAATGACTAATTAAAAACCGCATGATTGATTGACACATATATGTAGATCAAGCCGTAAATCACAGTTTTTATTGGATTGGAATCCCGACGAGTCCCTCTCATCTCCAAGACATTTTATAATCGATCAACGGTATCTCCAGTGAAATTGGCGACCCTGAAGAGGCCTCGGGAGACAAAGAAATCCGGTCACCAAGATATGACCCAGATTCAACTCCGTCGAGATAAAAAAAAATAAATCCCTGAAGAATCACTCAGACACACTCTCCTCATGTTTTTATCATCATTTTCACACCCATTCATCTGTCTAATGCGATGCTCCAGTGGATAAGCAAAAGTTTCTTAAATAAATTCAAAGTGGGAAAGTTCTTACGATGGACATCTCGAGGAAAAAGGAAAATTTCGCGCGAATGTGGGGTACAGTTATGAAAGTGGAGTGAAAAAAGAAATAATAAAACGGTGTCTATACGGAAAAGTTCTTTACGAGGGTCCATTGACCGACGTCGAGACCCCCAGGGGCTCTTTCGTTTTGTACTCCGAGGAAATGCGCACTTTTTGCTTGTTCACTCGAGCCTGCAAAAGTTCATACACGCGCCTGCCATTACAAAGAACATTGCATTATCGCTTCAAGTTTATTTTACAATTTTTAGTTTTTATTTTGTGTTAAATGATGAATGTTTTTGAAAGAAATTCGATCACTCTCCTGGATGATACAGAACATGTGGAAGTAACTCCTTTTATATTATTTAATTGTAATAGTCTGGGGGGAAATAAATTAATAATAACCTATTGGTTATGGAATTTGTTTTCTTAATAATTCATCGGTTTGGTTTATCTTTTATTGTATTACACTGTCGCAAATTTATTGAAATTATGTGAACATTCAATTATATGAGTTTGAATTAAATTTCTATTAAAAACTTTATAAATTTCGGTGAAATTTCATTAAGTTAATTGAAAATTCAAGGAAATTCAGCTTCAATAACAATTGAGGATTGAAAATAAAATAATACTAAAATATTCATAAATTTAATGATTAGCCAATGAAGATTTCAACAGAAATTTCATACCACTTTGTTATTGTTAAAAAATTAAATTCTTTTCACTTTCAAGTGTAATTTTCCAATACCATTTGAAGCTCAAATTTCTCTTGAGCGTCGACTAATTGATTTCTCGTAATTAGTTTAACGAATTTTTAATAGAATTGGGGAAAGAATGCCTTGAAATTTATGACCTGAAGTTTAATGTTTGCGCCCTAAAACATTCACCTTCCTTTTTACCTGTGATCACAACTTGGAATGCGATTATGTGGGACCCCGACACCTTCCTCAATACCTCCAGTTGTACATTCACCAAGTTGAGAACACTTGGGTATCAAACAAACTCAAACTCAAACATTGAAGGTAAACCTTTACAATTTCTATCAACCACTTGTTCCTCGTTCATTTTTCTATTCAATTCTTCACACAAAAAAATATTTCGACGATTCATTCTCGTCGCTCTGTCAAAGGGAAACATTTCATTTCTTTATTTGGATAACGCGATTTTCGTGGACAGGAAAGCAAATGTTATCTACGAATAAATTGAAGAAAAAATCCAGGTCAACCGGAAAATAATTATAATTAAGAAAAACTACTGGTGGCGCTGAAATTATTGCTAATTTTCTCGCGTGTTTTTGTGAATTGAATAACAAAAATCATTGGTTTGGCAGATTTATGTGATTGCGCAGACTTGCGTCATGCTAATCTCCTTAAGCCTCCGGAATAATAAACTTTAAGAGTCGGTACATTAATTTCTATTGTTCAACACTAGTAAAATCCAGTAAAATGCATGGCTTCGTCAAAAATGAGAAAATCGGTTTTCAACATTCACCGGATTTGGTTTCCCAGATGAAAAAATCTTCGAGTCCTCAAGCCTCCTTCAAGGCTTAGTCTCCACAAAAAATGGCGTGAATTTTTGCTGCCTGGAAAAAAAAAATGATGGCTGAATCGGGTGCACAGGAGTGGAGCACGAACGATCGCATGAGCACGAGAATTACAGTTATGTTTGACGCAACGTACGATCCAACTTGAGCCTAAACTCACCAACAACTATTCCCCAAGAAGTACATAACAGCGATTCCTCGTGCCAGGTATCTGAAAACATGAATCTCCAGGTAAATAACCCGGGTTCAAGATTATCACGAGATCCTCGGATAGAGGAAGCAAAGATCACACTATCTTCAAAGTAGAGGACAAGGAGAAATTCTCAGTTTATCTCATCTCTTCCCTCGGCTTTATTTATCCCAGTAATAACAGATGATGGAACAATTATCTCGGTCCTTTATCTTCTCCCCAGCGAATATCTGGCATCACCACTTGATTACCGGCAATATCTCCCTCCGTAATTAATAACAATGATGATGAAATAGTACGAAAAAATGTAACTCCTCGGGTGCAACGGAAATGCCCACCTATTTTTTTTTTTTTTACATTTGCCATAAATAAAAAATGATTATGGGATTCGCTGGTGTAAGAACGAACACTTGAGCAGCCGTAAATGGGAATTATTCCATCAGTTATTCAATCATCGTCAACATGAAGAGGCAGAACAGACGAGAGTGTAAAAATACCGAGAGGTCAACATTTTTTTAATTATGGAAATGCCAATCAGCTAATTAGATTCGATAAAATTTTTGGAGTAATTCCAGAGTCGATTGGTTTGGTCTGAATTTTAATTCAGAGATGAATTCAATCCTTTTAATTAGAAGAAATTTATAAGACCTGAAGAAATTATACATATTACATATTTTCATATTAGAATATTCAGTTTAGAAAGTTCTCATAATTTTTGTAAGCAGTGAAGAGGATTTTTAACAATGTGGGTTATCAAGTTAATTAATCGGTATTTTGACATTTGGAAAATTGTCTTGTTAAATTTCAAGTGATTAAATTGAGATTAGTCTGATTTTCAGGAATCGTAAACATTAATTAATCTCAGAAACCATTGCTTCCTTTTCGGATACATAATTAGATACAAAAAAGTCCGTTAACGGATTTAATTTCCATGTGAAATCAATAATTTTTTAGATAAATCCATAATTAAGAAACTAGAAATCGGAAAAGAATTATTGAATTGAACTTTTTTATGGTTGTATTAGAGAAACCAGAAATGTTCCCAATTATTTAATTAGGTGAATTAATTTAATAATTTATAATAATTTATAATTGTGTGTTCTCGATACATCAGAAAGACGAGTTTGAGGAATAAACAACTTATTAAAATAAAATGTGAAAGAGGGTGAGACATTCCAGACGAGTTGTTAAAAAAATTGAAGAGTATTAAAAAGCGAAATTTTTTGATATTTCAATTGAAAAATAAATGTATCCCCGACCTTGCCTTCGAATCCTGTCGTATAAAACCGGAATGAAAACGGTATCCGTTGTGACCACTGCAGGTAAATGTAGAAATGAGGGAATGGGAAAATGGAGTGGGGCAAAATGAAGATAAAGTAATGAGAGGTAAAAAGACCATGGAGATGGGCTTGGAAATATTAAACGAGGGGAATTAGTAGGCGGAGCATATGGTGAGCAGATGCTCAAGACTGAAATGCATTTGAAAGACGACAGAACAAGACCCCCGCATGCAGAGATGCAATAAAATAACGCCCCCCCTCCCTCCTCCTTTTTTTTTATATTTCAGATTTTTTCTTCGACCCATATAAATATTTTTATTCATCGACTTTTTAAATATTTGGATTCTGGGCCTGGCGCAGGGAATTTCCATCCAATGGACTTCGATCAGAGTTTGAAATTATATTTAGCTTCATCTTTCAAAAATAACTCACGGAATTTGAAATGAATTTTATTGTCGTGCGTTTCCTGGTATTGAATACTGGAATTTCAGAGCAGAAATATTGCTCTGATGGAAGTATTAATTGGCGATTTTGTCAGGTTTTGAAAAGACGATGATACCCGAGATTTTGGGGGTCTGAACAATTATTTGGAGCCGCTGGCCCAATTTTTTCAGGTCATTGGGCCTCGCGTTCCGTGAGTTTTCAATCTAGACTGGGGCATATAATGCGATTGGCCTTCTTTTCGTCTGGGTGTGGTTCGAGATTAATTCTCGTGCCCATGGATTCAAGTAATGGAACATTGAACATTCTAAATGATCTACTAGAATCACTTTCTTGAAATGCAATCTGGAATAAACGGGGATTATCTGTCATGATGACAGAACCATTGGCCTTTGAAATTAAAGGATGAAGATTTCATAATAACATTTCAAATAAATTCCGATTGACAGAGAATCTCCAGAAAAACTAGAATTATGATGATATCCCTGAATGATTTCACTTTCGCTTCACCTGAAAATTCCTCAAATATTCGGATAATTCTGGGTTGAAGTCTTCCATTGAATAATAATCTGTCATGGACAAAAGAGAAATGAGAAAATTAA